TGAGCTGGCCATTGCCAGCTTTGGGGGTGGAAGCAGGGTCCATGATCCTGGGGCAGCAGGAGGCGTCTGGAAGCCACAAGAGGCGAGGAGAGAGGCTGTCCCCTGGGGCTCAAGAGAAACCGGCCCGCTGATGCCTGCCTGATTTAACCCAGGGAGGCCTGCTCTGGATTCCAAACATAAAAGCTGTCAGAGGATGCATTTGTCTTGTTTTAAACCATGGAGTTCATGGTAATTTGTTACAACAGTAGAAGAAGGACAACACAGGATTCTCTCTCTCTCTCTCTCTCTCTCTCACACTATAACCTCTAAGGGGGCCACACAGCTTCCCTCTCTCTTCTATGGTTTCTTCTCATGCTTTTGCAGTATTTTTACCCTTTCAAAGATCCCTGGGGGTTATTTCTATCCCATTTCTTTTGGGCTCTTATGTCGAGGGGGGAGCAGGCAGCTTGCAGAGAAATTCGCTGGGCCTCATGCCCCAGGACAGGCCTCGGGGGCCCCTCACTCTCCAGGGGGCTATGTCAGCCAGGAGGAGCCCAGTGCCAGTCCACTCGGAACATAGAAAAACATCAGCATCTCTGCTGGCCGAGATACCAGGCCTAACACCGAGACTATTGTTATAGGCAAATGCCCTGGAGGTCCAGCAAGAAGGAAGTACGGTATTTACACATGGCTTTCCAAGAAGATGAGGTCACACAGCTTACAATGTGGTCCTTATACCTGACCTCTCCTGAATACCTGAAAAAGCTCCAGCCACTCCCCTGCCACTGTGCGAAATAGCTGAGGGTGGCGAGGTGTGACCTCTGACATTTAGGAATGACGGTCCATGTTTTATCCTGCTCTACCTAGCACTCCCTGGGTATTTAGAGGCAATTGTCTCCCTGCCTCCCGCTCTGTGTGATTGATTGGATGGTATCCCTGACCTGGAAACCCGGGCACCTGGGCAGTGCTCTTAATTAAGCGACGAGGTCAAATCAGCATTGAATGCACAGGGGTGTGTGCGTTCAGACGGATGCTTTCCTCAAGGACACGCAGATGCCTGAAGAAGAGCAGAGCATGAGTGCGGGTCGTCACGGGGCTGATGGGACCGGACGGCTGCCCAGGCCTCGAAGCACCGTTAGTTAGTGCTGCTGGTTATGTAAACCCCGCAGCTCCTTGCAAGGGCAATCAAAAAATGTGAAATGCTTCAAAACCTGTTCATTAGAATCATTGTTCCTGGGAAATACACAAATGCCAAGGGGACACACGAGGCGATGCCATGGATTTATGCAAAGAACAAAGCAACGGTGGAGAATGATAACTCACTGATCTGAGTTTGTCAGATCAGTGGAAGCATCTGAGCTTCCTGGCTTGGGGCTGGATCTAAGGTGGGTCCGGGAATATTCCTGGGCCTGGTGAAATACAGTTAGGTAATAGTCACAGCCACGTGGGTCTAACTGAGGTGGAGAATCCAATGTGGAAACAGAGAGGCATGTCAATGGCTCGCCGACCCACTGGGACAATTGGCCCAGCACCCACGGTGCAGGCTTCTGAGGAGCCCTGCGTGTCAGGTGTGTGTGTGAGACCAGGCCTGCTCCCCAGCCTGAGAACTGGACGTACGAAAGAAAAGGGGAAGTACCGATTTTACAAAAATGAAACCATGCTGTTCCATGACTGGTTTTTACTTTTTAAACATTTCATGCAGATAATTTTGCATATCATTACATGGGTCTACTTTACCCATTAGTATGCTATTGTTGGTACAATAATTGAGGGTATAAATCTCTAGTTAAAGATGGTTAAGTGGTTTGTATGTACTTTTTTTTTTTCATTTTCAGCAACCAATGAAACTTTTTTCCTTTGTACAAGTACCTGTTTAGTTCTTTAGAATAAAGTTCCTGTTTAGTTCCTAGAATTGGGATTTGGAATTTCTGGGTAAAATGACTTAGACTTTAAAAACATATTACTAAGTTCCCTCGAGCACGTAAGTGTGAGTTTGCTGTTCCACACCAACAATGCCCATTCGCTCTACACTTCCTGCCAACATTAAATGTCATCGATCTTTCTCAAATTTGCCAAACCGAGAATCAAAACCACTCATCGCTGTTTAATCTTACATTTTAATTAAATTCAATGGTTTGGGTTTACATCGAAGTAAAGATTTATTTCTATAACATAGCAGTTACAATACTTAGAGTAATTTGCAATAATTAGAAACAGGCATTTCGTGATGCTATGGACAGATAGAGTTCCCTAATAAATAAAATAATATCTATAAACTCATAACAAACTAAATCAAAATCCACCTCTTACCACATCCACAGATTTCATTAGAATTAAATTCAGCATGTCTCTTAGCCCATGAAACAGACAGTAAAAATACAGTAACCATTTGTGAAGTGGCACATGGCTTTTGTCAGGAGATCCTAAGGATATTCATTCATGTGGAATGAATTACAAGCTACCCTGCCCCAAAGCAAAATGGTAGTCAGATTTCTCTGACGTCCTGTGATAGTGCAAGTTTGCATTTGGAAGTCACATAATGAGGAGAGGGAATTCGTAATTAGGGAAAGAAATTCCTTATTGGGCTATAACTTCATGGTTTGAGCCCAGAGGCAACACCACGGGAAAGCAAGCAGAAACCTAACCGCACGTTTGATCGCGGGGTTATTCGTTGACGGACAGCATATACATTTCAGTCAGCACATCCAGGATTATGTAACCCGATAGACATCACTTTGCTGGCAACCCTGGCACAGGACCAACTTCCCATTATCTCTCCGGTCGGCCCCGCCCGAGTGCAGGCTGGGTCTAGGAGAGAGCCCAGAGCGCGCACAGCAGCGCACACTGCCCGCCAAAGGACACACCAGGGAGGCGCTCGCAACCCCTTTCCACCCAGGGCGTTTCCCGTGGGCATTTGAATTGTGGCTCTTCTGAACTTGCTGTGGCTATGGTACCCGCTTGCTCACTGATCCCCAGCCTTCCAAAAATACTCACAAGAAGGAAAATCGTAAGGTGAGATTCTCGTCCCTCCTGCTTTCTTGGCCTGAGAGCGTGGGTTTGTCACCGCAGAGAGCACTCGCGGGTTTCCTCCGCTGGGGGCACAGGTTGCTGGGCTGGAGCCGGTGGCTCGCCCGCTGGCCCGGAGCCCGAGACGCGAAGCCATAAGCAGCATTCTCTCTGCCTGAACACACCAGCGCTCTCGGGGCATGTGGGTCCATCAGGGGTCCCAGTCTGTGCGAGGCCCCGCGTCTTTCCCATCGTGGCCTCGTCTGCACAGGGAGGATTCCACCCCAGCGTTGCCTTTCCCGAAGCAGATCCGTGGGTCTGCTACCTCACTACCGTGGAGATCCGTTTCAAGGCCACCGGTGACAGTGAAGTCTTTGCTTACTCACTTGGACTGTCTTGGGGAGCGGCTCTGGGTTTTGGGAGGGCTGTATCTTTGCAGGCAATTCTGTCCCAGGCTAAGCCATAAGAGGCTCTTCGGCTTAAGCCGCAGAGGCAGAGAGGCAGCTGCTGCGGGAGGGGAGCAGCACCGGCCTGAGCAGCGGTTCCTAAAGCGCGGTTCCTGACGGCAGCTTCGCTGCCCGTTGGGAACTTGGAAACGCAAACTCTCGGCACCTAGTCCGTCAAAACTCTGGGGATGGGTCCCAGGCAATCCCCGTTTCAATGTGAGTTATAGGTGACTCCGAAGTCTGCTAGAGCTTGAGAAGCATCGGTGGAGGAAAAGCAACCAGCCTGAGCCCGCGGTGAGGAGCAGCGGCCCCAGGGACGGCGCCCCGCGGCCTGCTGCAGGCTGCGGGGCTGGCGGGCGGGTCGGCGAGCCTCAGGGTGCAGGTGGAGAGGGAAATGCTGAGGCCCGGAGCTCAGGCGGCCCCCGGGTGCCGGAGGGCAGTAGCTTCAAGGGCTGAAAGCAAAAGAACGAACGAATCCAGGGGCGCCCGTCATCGAAGGGGACAGTGAGTCTTAGGGGGTAGCGTGGAGGGTGAGGAGGATTTGGAGCAACAGGACGAGGTAGCAAATGAAGAAGACAGAGAACCCGGACGGATAAACGGTTGAGCGGAGACGGGGGTGAGCAAGGACCAGAAGAGCCCCTATTCCTCTCCCCTTCCGGTGAGAACAGGGACAACTCTAAGTCAGCGTTCTGCCGGCCAAAAGCAAAAGGAGCCAGGGCCCATCTGCCCGATGGGGTGCGGGTGGGAGGCTGGCAAACGGGAATTTTTACCCACGGGCAACAGGGGTTCTCGGCCTGCAACTAAGGGACACGAGGCTTGCGGATGTTGAGGTGGGGGAGGCCCCCCCGAGCCGCCGGCAGGCCCTGCCCGGCTCCGGAGGGCGGGTGAGAGGGCGGAGGACGTCGGGGACGAGGGAACACACACACACAGACGAGACACAGCCCGTCAGGCTGGAGCCACGACACAAGCTCCGTCGCTAAGAAAAGGCACAGCCGGGGGCACAGGAGCGTGGCTGTCATGTTTCTAGAGCTGACAACGGCAGCGTTCTGAGACCACGGAGAGGACAGGGAAGAAGTACTTCTGACGGCAGAGGTAAGAGCAAAGACAAGCCCACACTTAGGAAAGTCTGCAGTTCCTGTTTAGGCAAAGCATCATGGGCAAAGAGAACCCGCGTTCTAATGAAGGATGATAGAACACCCTGCAAATGCCAATGTGACATTTTTAAGTAAGGCCCTCTGTTTTATAAAGATTTTATTTATTTTTTATTTTTAGAGAGAGAAGAAGGGAAGGAGAAAGAGAGGGAGAGAAACATCAATGTGTGAGAGAAACTGGTTGCCTTTTGCATGACCTGGCCCACAACCCAAGCATGTGCCCTGGCAGGGAATCAAACCAGTGACCTTGTGGTTTGAAAGCCAGTATTCCATCCACTGAGCCACGTCAGCCAGGGCAAGGTCCTATGTCTTAAAGATAGTTCTTTGTTTAATATGGAGAAAGGACAGGAAAAGTTATATAAGATATAGACTTTATTTCCATGGATTTCTGAAATTATATGCTTTTTAAAAACCTCTACCTTAATTTACCCCCAAAATATTAACTATTAAACCAACCAAACTGATACAATAATTACTCTCAAAAGATAGTAACAGATTGTAAGACATAATAGGTTGTAAAATAAAACAGATTGTAACCAATTGGTTAACAGAAACAATAAAAACTAAACTAAAGGACTTGAACCTTGGTAACGATTTACAGAACTGTTTAACTTAATAACAAAAGTCCGCTTTGGATCAGTAAGGCATTGCTGCATTATTTCTCAGAGAGGAAGGCACCCAATCACTAGCATCAAAAGTCACAAACATGTAAGAAAACATGAAGACAGCCCGTGGTTCACATGCTACAAACAAAAGCTGGTGCCTTTGGGGCTTCGACTTTTGTATCTAAGTAACACTAAACTGTGCACATGTAAAATTTACAGCAACTACATTCCCTTCTCTAATAAAGGCTAATCATTTTTGACAGATCAACCTGAAAGAAAAAAAAAAAAAGGAAAAGTCAACTTTTCTAACACTACTTTGAAAAAAAATGTTTTGTCTCTCAGTATCAGGCCAATTTTTTTTTTTAAATGATGTAATTGGCATAATATTTTGGAAGAGTGTGTGAACAAATTGACAGCAGCTAAAACAATTTTAATGGCACATTCGGGAGCTCACATTCAAAATGACATTACTGGTAAGTCCTTTCCTGTGTGTGAATTCAAGTCCTATGGTTATAAGCCACATAGCAATACTTTGTTCATGTTAATTTTTAACAAGTATTTTGTTCAATTTAGTTATGCTTTTCAAAACAGTTAAAACTCTAACACATGACGTTTCGGGGCAAAGATACTGAAAAAATAGCACTTCAGGAAGATGTTACTACAGCCAACGTATTACAATAATTTCCTAAAGTGATTGCCGAAAAATAACCTAGATCTAGTGTTAGTCACTGTCATTTATGAATATTATGACAATTTCTCACAAGTGCATGAAGCCGATTCTGCCAGTAGTCACAACTCACTAAAGCACTTGAGAAATTAAACTTCAGTCTGGATCAACATATATGACAGAAAGAAATGTTAGTGTTCACTATTCATCTTACTCATGATCTCATTTACTTTGGCCATTTCACTGTTTCAACATATCTGGAAAATGAGGATCCAAATACAATGCTAACTTTCCACAAATTAGTCACCTGAAAGTCTGAACTGTTTTTCATCAGCAACAGACTCCCTTAAAACTATATGTCCAGAAAACTTAACTAGGTGTTAATCTAATAGAGCTATTAGCAAAGCCAGGTAAACAGCAGGAACGATGGAATAAATGGGCCTCTAAATATCACACTATATATAGAGAAGCAGAATTACAAGTATATCACTTCTAAAAATGTGTACGTGCCTCCTGAGCAAGAGGATCCAGGAATCATAATGATTAATACAAGTACCTAACATGTTTTCTAAAATGCAGTTTAACGTTGGCTACCCATAACTGTCCTGCCCGCCGTGCGTTCATCCCCGGCGGCCGCACGGCGGGCTCAGACATCGATATGGACGCCGTGCTTTGAGGACATCGCTTGTCTGGTCCCCGTGAAATACATAGCCAGGGAACAGAGGTGAGGTAAAGATGACGTGATCACCACATAAAGCCAGAACGGCACGGGAGAGGTTTTTCCGAATGGGCATATCCACAAGCCGTGGCGAATGCCATCGCGGACGTGGTGCGAGGTCCAGGACAGGAACAGCATCCAGGGGAGGAAGCACCACGAGTCTTTGAGCTTGAAGAGGTGCATGGTGAACTTGAGGGTCAGAGCCACCGCGGGTATCACCGTGGAGCAGTGCAGGAAAGGCCTTCGTGGGAGAGTCAGCGCAGCCTGTGGGCGAAAAGCCGAACACTTCCTTCAGAAACAAGGATCCGTAAAGGGGCTGGGTGAGAAAGAAGGGAAAGTGAGTACGAGAAATATTGGGTTGGCCAAAAAGTCCCTTTAGTTTTTGTCGTAAAATGAAAGATATATTTTTTCATTTTCAGCAACGACTTTATTAATTTGGATATTTTGAGTATGTCTGCTATCTCCCGTGTGGTATAATGTTGATTATTCTCAATTAATGTCTTGATTGCTATCAACTTCAACTGTTCTACCTGCCTGCGGAGCATCGTCCAGCAAGAAAACCCCAGCTCGAAACTTTTCAAATCCCTAATGACACATATGATCAGTCACAGCACCTTCTGCATACACTGCACAAATCTTTTTATTGCGTTTCAGTTGCATTTTACCTTTCCTGAAATAATAAAGCATAATATACCGAAAATGTTGCTTATTTTCTTCCATCTTCAATATTAAAATGGCGACTCAAAAATGCACCGATTTTGATGTTTTTTTAAATGCACGCTGACATGAAGCTGTCACAATACAATCTAACAAAATTGTTTCGAATGAAGTTACAGACAACTAAGCGCTACTACAGCCATCTCATGGAAAAAACCAAATGAACTTTTCGGCCAACCCCATATATATATAAAAGTAATACAGAGGCACAGACAACAGTGTGGTGATAGCCAGAAGAAAGGGGGGGTGGGGAGAGCGGGGAAGAGGAAAGCGGGATGAATGGGGACGAAGAGAGACTTTCCTGCAGGCGACGGGCACCATGCAGCGTGCGGGCGGTGCTTTGCTGAGTTGCACACTTGAAACCTGTATGGTCTTCACCAAGGTCACCCCAAGAAATTCAATTTAAAAAATTAATTTATTTTAAAAAAGGATCAATACCAGGACAATGCCATACTTTACACGCACCATCGCATTTAATCCTTATAACAATCCCATGTGTCAGGGATTGTTTTACAAAAAGGGGCCTGGGACTCGAGGGGCTAAGCAACTTCCCGGCGCTGGGCGAGTCAGCGGGGAGCCGGGACTGATCCGGGGCCTGCGCCCGACTCCGTGGCTTAGTCTGAACACTGCGGCTTCTGAGTGAATCAAAGAACAACGGGGCATAGAGCCCAAATATCTTTAAACGTTACAGTAAGATAGATGAATTCTCACGCTTATCCCAATCTCCAACATTTGTTAACTCTTGGCTAAGGAGCATCATTTAACATGCTCGTGTAATCCTCTCAGCAACCCGTGGAGATAATTAGGGTTATAATCCACATTTTACAGGTAAGGAAATTGAGACTTTGAGAAGGAATGGCATGCTAACATGGTATACAAGACTAGGATTCAAACTCAGATCTTCTGATTCCAATCTTGTACTGCCTCCATATAGAGCGAAAACAATTGTCTTTAATCAGGAGTTACTGGTTCCGTATTGGTCGAGCCTCTAAACAAGTAAGGCCACCTCTGAGAAATACCCAGTACGATACCTGACACATAAGGGGAAGCAGCAGCCACCATTTCGCATTCGTTCAACAAATACCTACACAACATGCACTGGGTGAGCCGGGAACTGTTCTAGGCCAGTGGGGAAGAAGCCCAGTCCTTGCTCTGTGAGTCTGTATTTCTTTCCGTGAAATGTTTACAGATCATAAATACTTAAAAGGTAAGCAAATCTGTTGATACTTAGCAAATATTACCTGAACTGCCCCGCCAAGCTCACTCAGTTCACCTGCAAGGCGCCATGGGGCTGAACCCCTGAGGCCTAAATGAAATTCCGCACTTTCTCCACCAGGGACAGCGTCCTCACCAGCCCACTGAAAGGCACAGCTTGGGCTCCCAGAGGGGCCGGGGAGCGAATCCACTGAGGCCACGCCCCAGGGCTGGGGTCGCCGTACAGCCGTTGAGCTGCTGCAGAGCTGCGTGGGCTGCGTGCGCACAGTAGGTCATGGAGAACGCGGCGGCAAGTGCCAGGGTGGTCCTGAAGGAAGAACACGGACACAGGAAGGACAGGGAGTGTCCCTGAGAGTGTCCCCGCTGTCCGTGCGCACCGTCCGGGAGGCATCAACCCAAAGTGCTCAAAAGAGGCGGATGGGTGGGCTTTCTGACTTTAAAACAGGGCTCATCTTCTAAGGCTCTAACTAAAATGCTGCTGCGAAGTTCAATATACTGTTGCTAACAACATGAAAGGAAAGACCTGAAAAATTAAACAGATACGACTCTTACCTGTAAAGATAGGGATCTAGCTAGCAAAAAGTGGTCTACATCAATAACAGAGGCCAAAAATCCAGCTAAAATGATTTCTCTCAGGTCAGTCTTCTTCTTGACTCCAATGACTATTGCCCAGGACCACAGGCCAATCACACCGTGCACCGCATTGTCAGAGAGGGCGCGAAGCCAGTTATTCTGCTGAATTATGGAAAACTGCAGAAGTCTGTCGGCCATCAGGCAGAATATGCCCAGGCCGAGGCTGCAGAGTAGAGACTCAGCGCTGCAGGACTGGAGTAGAGCCTGGGCCTTCTCGGCCTCGGATGCCATCACGGACAGGGCGTCAGTGCACGTGAGGAGCCATCACACACGGGCAGCTGATTCTTGCTGACATTCCCGGTCGCCCTGACATAGAGAGCAGAGAAAGATATTAACAGCGACGATGGGCTGCCATACAGTATTATCAAAACATTATCAGCAATGATTTCACAAATATAAAACCAAGTTGTAAAACCTGGTATTTCTTTTTCTAAACTGGTCAAACTTTATTTTTCCTAGCTTTCTCGAGATACAATCACTTTGGTACACTGTGTAAGTTTAAGGTGTACCATGTGCTTTGATATACATTCACATTTTGAAGTGAGTACCACAGTAAGGTTAGTTAACGTATCCATCACTTCACATAGTCACCTTTTCTTGTGTATTGAGAGCATTAAAGATCTACTCTCTGAATAACTTTAAAGTGTAAAAAAACAGTATTTCTGACATGTTATATATTACATGCTATGTGGCCCAAAGGGCATAGCTGTAGGAAAGACAGGTGGGATGGAAATGTGTATCGGGAACATTTAAGAAAGCCCGCCGACTGTAATCTATTACTGTGAGGTCACTACGTGGCCGGGGCATCCCTCGGCTCTGTGCCCCGCCACTACAGTACTTCGCACGCTGCTTCCGGTAACAGCATCCCCTTCCTCCGGGAAAACGGCTCCTCACAACATCCAAACTCCAGAACCAACCAATTAGGATTCTCCGTCTCCCTTTTTAGTAGTAGTGATTAATTAATAATATCTAATTAGTAATCATTTCCCAGTAGTGACTGATTAGTGGTGATTATGTTAGTGAGGGAGGTGGCCCAGGCTGGACCAGACTCCTTTCCAAAGTTTTTTCTAAGTGGAGCGGGTGCAGAAAGTTCATTTCCTTCTTGTACATGATGGGCTCGGCAACATGGGGCAGCCCAGGAAAAAAGAATCGTAAGGACATCAAGTCCTCAGGCCCAGCTCCATATCCTCAGAGCTGCCCTCCACTCCCCCACTCCTCCTTCACATCCGTGGGCTCCCCGACATTTCCCTATTAATCCCATTCTCCTTTCTGTGGCCTCTAACTGAAGAGCCTTAACTGATATGAAATGGCCACCATAAGTCTGTGTGGAGTGCTTCCCTGGCCCAGAATACAGAAATCACCTACCCATTTAAGGTTATCCATATCGTGAGACACCTGAATTTCTGTTTTGTATTGTTTTAATTCTGAGACTAAAGAATAACCGATTTGTTGCAAATGATTCAACTTCCATTCTGTAATAAAAACTACATATAGCTCATTATATAAATTTTAAACTTTACAGGGAAGTGCAAAAAACCTAGAAGAGGAAAACTTTAAAAAAGAGGAATTAAGTTGAAGGGCTACACCATTTGATTGCAAGTATATCATAAAGCTACACCAATCAGGACTGTGGTATTAGGCCCTGGTAGGGTGGCTCAGTTGGCTGGGCGTCGCTCTGCAAAGCAATAGATTCCTGGTCAGGCCACATGCCTGGGTTGCAGGTTTGGTCCCTAGTCAGGGTGCGTTCGAGAAGCAACCGATCGATGTTTCTCCCTCACATCAATGTTTCTCTCCCTTTCTTTTCCTTAGTTTATAACATGTCACTTATACTCCAAAAAAGATTATTAAAAAGTTAGGAAAATATACTTTCTTGTTAATAACACCAGCAGACGTTCCATGTAAAAGGAGCAATGCAAAAGCAAGAGAGAGGTTATGGAGAGGGAAAGCCTGCCTGCCCAGCCAAAAGGTTAACAGAAGGAATGCACGGTGAAATGAGTGTTTCAAAAAACACCAGTGAATACAGTTTCTAAGAGTTTCCCCAGAGCCAAGCGGAAAAAAAGAACAAAGAGGTAGGTATTGAAAGAAAAAATAAATTCAAAAAATAAAGAGAAAATTCTTTATTGGTATTCAAGTCAGGAAAAAAAAAAAAAGGTTATCTGCAAAACAATGTGATTGACATCAACACTAAATACCAAAATGTTGTGGGGTACAGAGCTCTAAGACTAAAGGATTGTTGTAGGATTCTAAACGTAAGGAACTTATGGACCAATGTGACAATCATGAATTTTGAGAGTTCTGCCATTGAAATTACAAACCCAATGTACAATTCCTGGGGGGAAAAGAACTGAGGAGCAAGACTTCTAAATCTCTAGGGAGAGGGAAGAGGAATAAAGAACACTTGATCAATACAGCAAAACAGAACAGGAAATAAAGCAAAGAAAACCTTACCCCTGCCCCCCCAACAAAAAGCAGTTGGGACCAGATAAATCAAACGCAAATATCACAATAAATGTAAATGTATTAAATTTCTCTATTAAGAGACAGATTGAGACAAAAGATCTATTTTAAGCCTCTAGCTTTTGGGGTAATTCATTATGCAGCAATAGTTATAGAAGTTTCTATTTTAAAAAAGGTATAATTATGGTCCCAGAAACACACAATTCTTCTCCAACTGTTGAAGATATTTAGACTCTCAGTATGAGACAGAGAAATTTAGTAAGTGTACTTCGTCTTATTTATTGTCTCTGACCAGGACACCTAAGTGACTTATTCTTACTTTGTTCATCCCCTTTTGAACTCCTTCTCCTCCCCCTACAAACAGAATGGACTCAGGAACCTCCCAAACTGTACAAGAGCCTTCTTTTTATTTTACATACTCACTTTTTGGGCGCAGATTCCTTAAGAGTAGTAATTATAATTTTATTTTAAACCTGTCATGCATAAAATCTAATGCACTCAGGTGTTTAATAAATATTTCATTACACTAATAAAAGGGATGAACAGGTAAGCGACCCTCAGTCTCCGAAGGAAAGCTGTGACCTCTCCGCGGTTAAAGGCCCGTCTCCCACGTCATGCGTTTCTCTCTGACTTGCAGGAACCAGTTTCTGCGATTGCCAAACTCTGCCACACCTCATCCCCATTACAGTAAAATGCCATCAACTATGGGGCCTTCAAAGTATACATAGCAGTGATCTGCCCTGTCTTCAACTCCACAAACACACAATTAGCCAGTTACTTTAATTATACACTATTACACTGTTTGTCAACAACCCCTTAGACATATTTCTGCCAAAACAAATCAGAGCTGACAAATCCCCAATGTAAATGTCATCTCCTACTTCACCCCCTTCCTCTCACTTCCCCCAATCACAAACACTTACAAAAACCCGAGGTAAAAGTACAATTAAAAAAATCAGAAAACTGCCTTTATTATGAATTACAAATAAGTCCTCTTCGCTGAACTGTAGTTGCTGCGAAGCTTGTATTTCTTTAACGCTACAATACCCAAAGCAGATGCCAAATCTAATGCAGCTAATTTGCAAAGAAAGGAAACACAAATCGTGCTCAATTTCACGGAAACTTTTTATAGCCCGTACATTAAAATGTTTAGTTCCTATGACCATTAAGAATAAAACATACAATTGTGCATTTCAGCTTGATGTTTGCAAGTCTCAGCAAATTCCCAGTGTCATTCTTTCGTCTGGTTGGTGAGATGCCATAATTTCTCAGAGGATTAAGAGAATAGGGTAGGAAGCCGCGGTGTCGGCAGGGAAGGGCCCAAGTTACACTCGTCGCATTCACGCCTTCCAGGATCGGGGCGCCGAAGGGCTCTGCCGCCAGGTCACAATAGCAACCGGCAGCTCTATCAGACCCCAGGCTCCCCACCCTGAGCAAAGGAAACGCCAGGGGCGCGGAGCCTAGGCGAAGACGCGATGAAGCCGGAGGGCGCTGCCGGGCTTCGCGCAGGTCCCCGGACGGTGCCAGCCCGCGGGCCAATCACATCCCGCTTGCTCTTGGGTCCCGCGCGCCTGCCGCACCTGCACGCCCTCCCCATCTGGAACCTGGACCTTCCAGACTTCAAGCTCAACCAGCCCGCGCCTCCGACCTCCCACAGAGGACGCAATTTCGCAGCATCCATTGCATCTCCCTCCCACCCGGCTCTCCGATGCAGCTCAGTCGCACCCACCCTGGCCTCTGACGTAGGCCGCAGCCCCGCCAGCGGAGGCCCCCTCCTTCCAGTCTACCGGTACCATAGAAATGCCGGCGCCGGCCAGAGCGGCTCCAGCCTGCAACGCCGCCCGAGAGGACGACGGGATAGGGCGCCGCTCGGAGCCGACAGGAGCAGGTATTCGAATGCTTTTCGGTGAAGGGACTAGATACCTCGATTTCTTCCCCATCGTGACCTTTGGGACGACGAGGTGAGAGTGAAAAGTGCCTTGTAGGCTTCTGCTGTCAAACCTGGATTCGTTCTCGGTTTAGTCGGCGCCGTGCCGCAGACCCAAGTGGCGGTCGCGAAGTCGGAGCCGCAGAGCGAACATCACCGAACGAGGGGCGCGCAAGCCCTGTGCCCCAGCCGAAGCCTCCCGGCTGCGCGCGCCCCTAAGGGATGGAAGTAGTCCCCACTTCCTTTGACGGGCCCTGGGGAGACCGCGAGCCGGGCCACCCGGACACGCCTCCGCAGCGTTTCACCGCCACCTTGGGGCTGGCTGCGTAATTACTCTTGGCCACTATGCGGTGGACGATGGGGACCGTGACTCTGCCTAAAGGGTAACTTGACCCCCATTAACAGGACAGAATGCAGCTTATGGACTGGGACTGTGGCCAGTGTCGCCCCGTCTCCCTGCCTCCAAACAGTCGGTGCTTGGGCTGTCTTAGCACCAAGACATCTCGAGTGACATTTTGCTCTAGGAAGGACTGGCCCAAAAGAGGCTCAGAAAGGAATCTTTCTGCTTACTACCTACAGTTTCTCAAAACAAGTGTCAGATGGAAGGCAGGGAGGATTGTACCCACATGCCTGAAAGAGACCATGGAAAACTGGAACCGTCAATCTGGAGCAAACTCATAGGCCTCTCCCAGAAACCTCAAGTGCGGCTCAGTATTCTCAGGTAGAGCTTCGCGCTGCCTGTCACACTCTTGGTGCTCAGCCAAAGGTTAGAAACATCTAAGAGGGCAAGTTACACCTATGTTATCCACACTGCATAAAAACTAATTAAAAATACCACCAAATACAGGGCTTGGCACAAATAAGGCTCCTTTTTTATGAGCAGATAATCTACAAAATCATAAGCATGTTGGTTCTGTAGCGTAACAATATAACAAGCACACCATGTGACATTTTAGGTGAAATGTTCAAATTGCTGTCCATCTTGGGCAAGACATTCACGTACCCTACCAACCACACTCGATGTTGTTACTGCTGCAGGACCCTGTACGTTAACCACAATGTTAGTCATGGTGACAGTTTTTTCCTGAGTGCGGTAACAATTTGGCATTACCCTATGGCAGCATAGGACATGTCTTACTATAGTCTAGGCTCCCTAGAGCTCCTGCAGGACAATGTATTGACTAAATTTTATTGAAATGAATATGTTGTCCTGCGGGAGCTCTAGAAAGCTTCCTGCTACCACAAGAAGACCTACAGTTCTTTCTCTGTAGTCCTCGACTGCCCAACGGCACCGATTCATTTATATAACCCAGACCGAGTGCCCTCGCTGTGCCAGGCGCTATGCTTGGTTCTGGAATTACTGGACGGAGCTCAGGTCTTGGGGAGCGCAGCAATGACCACCAAGAAACTGGACAATTGAAGTATGTGTTGAAAGGAAATGGAACAGGTGGTGCAATAGAGAGTAACTGGGGGAGGCCCCTCTGAAGAAGTGATATTTGGGCTGAGACCTGAAGGTGGCAAAGCACCCACCGTGAAAGGACCTCAGGAGAGCATCGCACCATTCAAATTCTCTCTTGCTTCTTCCTTTTTCTATGAAGAGGCTAGATTTGTCTAGAATCCAGAAGTTAAGTAGAACATTTCTGGTTCTATTTGGTATAATCTTGAAATCTTTAGATGTATGCTTTTGTTCTTTCTCAGTAGACAAAGTATAATAAATAGCACTTTGGTGAGCGCATCTCTCTTTTAGTTACACGTGCTTTGTAGCATAAATCTTTTCAGGTGTTCAAAAGAAATGAACATATCTGGTTCATGAGACAGTTTAGATAAAACTTAGTCATTGCTGAAATACTTGCTTCTTACCCTGAAGCAATATTACCTACTTTTTTTTTAAGATCTAAATTTCTTCTCATAGTTCTATTGAAAAAATACTTGAGTAAAGAGACTAAATAGCAAATGACCAAATGCACACAATATTGCATACTTTTTTAAAAGCCTTGATTAACAAACAGTGCATGCTTCACAAGATAAAACTATAATTTTATCATTTTTTCTTGTGAATCAGAAATAATAGTTCAAAATTTCAAAATAGTTCTTTATTAATAAAGTATTTTATAAATATATATTTTTTCATTTACAGGTTAGGTAAAATACATCCAAAGTTAAATGTCACATCTCATATAATTATTGAACATAAGTCATATATACAATTCCTTGGCTTTCTAGTAATTTCATACCAGTCACTTGAAACAACATCCTTAAGATTTAATAATATATTGTAATAATTTCCTTTTTCACTTTTTAGAGTTTGATAGAAGACAGTCAATATCCTGAATAACTTCAGAGATTTCTTTCAATGCTACTGATACTCTCTTTTCATTAACTTCTTCTAGCAACGTTTCTGAATATTCTGGTATATATTCAGAAGACTTTTCATTCTTCTTATTAGAAATCTGGTTTAGGACACCACTATTCTCCAATAATGCTAAGTTGCTTAGTTAAGGAGATTTTACCCACATTTTTCATTATTCAAGTATTTTTAATTGCAGGAAGCCCGACCTCCATATTAAAATACGATTTTTTCCATTGGGAGGGAGATCTCTCGGCACTTGAGAACTTACTGAGTCTACCCCTTATAGGTGAAGAAACTAGAGGATAAGAGTAGGGTAAAGGAAAGAGTATGTGTGTGTGTGTTTGGATGGAGGTTTGACAGATAGGAAGGAAATAAAAATTAAAATCTCAGTAAACTTTTAGCTACATTTACTAAGGAACAAAGTAAGAGAACTGAAATAAATAAAATTACAATAGAAATAAAAGGGGAAATTGCAACAGATAGCACACAATATAAAGGAGCATAAGGGATTACTGTGAGCAGTTATACCCCAACAAATCGGACAGTCCAGAAGAAATGGATTAATTCCTAAAAACATGCAATCTGTGAAGACTGAATCATGGATAGAAAGTCTGAACAGACTGAGTGCTAGCGAGGAGACTGAAACAGCACCCAAAACCTCCCAACAAACAAAGAGCCCAGGGCCAGATAGTTTCATTAGTGAATACTACCAAACATTGAAGGAAGAATTAATACCAATCCTTTTCAAACTCTTTCAAAAAATGGAAGAAGAGGGAACATTTTCAAACTCATTTCATAAGGCCAGCATTGCCCTGACAACCACAACCAGAAAAAGACACCACAAGAAAAGAAAATTATAGGTCAATATCCCTGATAGGCATGCAAAAATCTTAATAAAACGTACCTCCTACATACAAAATACACCTGGAATATCTTAAATATTCAATGAAGCTCTGCAATGTATGTGTGGACTAACATAAACTAGAGTGATGAAGTGAGCCTAGAATGGAAAGAGTAATTATGCAGGACAATACATTATGTTTAAAGGATACAGTTAAACTTCTGTATCTTTTCAAGTTCAGAAGCCACACACCTGTAGGGAAAAGAATAGTAAGTTCATGCTAGTTGTCTGGTTCTTTTTTCTCCACAATATTTCAAATAAGCATACTTGATTTTTTCATAAAGGTTAGAATTTTAGACAGAAAAACCTAAAAGTTAAGAATCCTTTTTTAATTTTTATTTATCAACAAATCAGCTTGATGCAGCTGATAAATTTACTCAGTGCTTTTAATGGGTAAGCCAAGTGAATAAAAGTACCACCTCCAGGAATGTTTTAATCAAGTATCAATATTTGAAGGTTACAGCCTTCCTGCCATGTCTTAGTTCTAACATAGCATACCCTCTATTTTCTTCCTTAAAGTATACTCAAATTTTTCAAAACCAACCAAAATCCCATCCCCTTTGTAAAATAAGTGATCTCTCCTTCCTTGAATTCCTATAGATTATTTTAATTAATCATATACCTATTTGTAATGTCTCCTCTTGAACTATTTTATTTTCTTAATACCTAGACTCTCTCTGTCAGTAGTATGGACCTTTTCTTATTCTTCTGTATTGGGCACATAGAGTAAGACTTCATTTATATGGCACTCAGGGTATGGATAGTTTTGGAGGGTTTTTATGCAGTTGAACTAGGTCATAAAACATAACATTTTCTATTAAGTTCCTTCTGGAATAGACTACCTACTCATTTCACTGTCTTCCTAACCACAGTATACTAAATATTCTCTTCTCCTTGACTTGAAGGCCTAACATTATGAACATTAGCTGTTATCATGTTCCAAAGAAACAGATTTGGAGGCAGCTGGTAAGGAGTAGAAGGCAACTCCAGCAGAGCCTCTTCGTTGTGTGTTCTTTCTCTCCTTCCTCATCAAGCTACAATAAAACATGAGCAATGGCATACAAGTAGAAAACAGTGTAATGTAACTCAGCTAGCTCTCTGAAAAATTAAGGAGGGCACTGATGTCTAAAACATCTCTTTATTCAAGTCAGTAGAAAAGTCTTCTTGAGAGTTCCTAACAGGATATGTGACTTCTCTACTGGATTTCCTACAATGGACCACATGTACCTCCTCATCAGCTTACATTCTTTCCCTATTCTCCAGCCAATGGGTGGAGAATGAGAGATTTTCCCTCATTTTCAGCATCTGTGATAAAGACTGAATAGAACTTGCTTCAAAACCTGCTGATCCTTCATCACTTCAAAATGCCTATTTTTTTTTTAACAGAGACACATTTTTTTTCCGGCCATAAACAACAAAACAAACTACCTTTAGTGCTGTTGTTCATATAATGAACCAACTTCTTACCAAACATCTTCTGTACTATTTTTAGACTAGCATCCCTATTAAAAAGTTGAATGAGTAGACTAATAACAGAAGATGAGTTGGAAAAAAATACCAAAGTACCATTTACATAGCTATTTATTATGCAGTCCCTTCTCTTTCTTCAGCCAGCCACTGACATGAAAACAGTTTGCAGCTGCAGATCTTGGGCTTGCAAAGGACATGAGGCTAATGCAGGGGCCCCTCCCTGCTCCGCCTCAGTTCCTTCCTCCTTGTGGCTCCTTATTGCCTCCTGCCGCTGCCACCACCGACCGGCTCCTCTCTATTCCCTCGCTCTTTCGTAGGTCTTGACAGTCTTCCTCGTCTTGCCTTCGTGTAAAAAGGCTAGCATTTTACAAACTGCCACCTGAGCAGTGGTGAAGTGGCCAATTTTATAGCTATGAACCATTTCCCTTCCTTCCCAATATGTGTTTTGCTAATAACTTGGACACTTTTCGGCCCCCAGACAGGCTGTAGTTGAGGAATGAGGGATATGGAAAGTGGAATCCTTAAGATAGCTGAGAAAATCAAATAGTATCTACTGATTTGTGCCTCTTTATCTAAGTAACTTTGGAAAAGGTGATAAGAATCAGGCTCATGTTTATATTTTTTTCACTATGCTATGCTCAGACACCTTACAATCTACTTTAAAGCTTCCTAAATTATTGCTGGTATCCTTCTATTCCAATATATTCAGATTATGCACTCAGTGATGCTAACCTTCCTAATGACCTTTCTTCCTGTCATTTTTTTCCATTCAGGAACTTATAATGTCATCAAGTCTGAGCTCCTTTAGTGAATACAAGATCCATTCAGCACTCACACTATACCTAACAGACAGTGTCTGCTCCGGAAAAACTATCTTCTCACTATCTCCACAGTCTGAAATACCCATTTCTTCCGCTGTCCTTGCTTCCTCCCTAAAATGTCTTAATTTCCCTAAATATTTCTTTGGGCCCAGTGCTAGTCCCCTGCACACCGAAAGGCATGCAAGAGGGACTAAAACACTTGTTTTATTTGCTGATTTGCCAATTAATTTGGGGGAGGCTATAAAAAAATACTTTTTCTGAAAGTTTATTATGTAGTCCACATTTTATTTCCCTTAATATTACTAAAGTTTTTTTAAAAACCTCCTTTAAATTTTTCCATAAAGTTTTGAGGATGAATTTCTCACATTGAAAGAGTCACCCATTTTAACATGATGTTTTCAGTGCAGTTTTCTGACCTCCAGATGAACTATAATATAATGAACTATAATAACTTAGATATCTGATAAAAAATAAATTATTTTTAATCTTAGGCTATCAAAAATATAGAGTTAAATATATTTAAGAAAAAGTATCCTTGAGAAAAAAGTCTTGAGTTTACCATTTGACATTTTAATTTTTGAGTAGTGGTTGGCTCTTCTACACACATTAAATTTAAATGAAATATAAATACCAATTTTCTTCAGGAACAGAAAGTGAAGGATGTGTGAGCATCTCTTTCTGACTAGTCTGGGTCAGTCTTCTGCACCATGATATTACTGTTTCCACATATCTAGATTGAATACATTAAAAGAAATATTTGAAAAATGAACTTGTATATTTATAAAAATATTTTAAAATGATTGAAAAATTAAGACACTTTGGGGAAAAGGGTAAAGAAAATATACTAAAATAAGGCATTTACTCCATTGGAAATATTCAGCAAGGAGAAACTTACATTCATGATTAGTAAAAATGAGTTTTAAGAATCAGAACAAAGGGGGATATTTGGATTGCATTCAAAGTTCAAATTCAAATGTCGTAAATTCTCCTGTTAGTTTTTCAAAGAATTTCATTAAACTTTATCATGTAAATGTGTTTACACATAAGACTAAATGAGCATTTGCTTTTAAAAATTTAATCTAGAAGACACCATTAATGCATATATACATATATGTATAACTATATATAACTCCCTGAATATGCAAAACAAATATCAAGTTTAATAAAATGATTGTTCTGAAGTGGCTTGTTGAAACAAATAGTAATGTTTGCTAAAGACACTATCTTTTTGAGGCAAATTATTCAAACTCGCAATGGGTGTGGGAGCAGTTAGACCAAAATGCAATAAATCCCAACAGAAAAATAAATTCAAGAGATAAAAAAAGCAATTCTTTTGTGAACATACTCACAGTAAAATCACTAAAATGTCAAGAACATCGCAAGTACAATGATCATAACAAATTATATAAACTGAAAGCAAAATACACATTCATAAAAAGCTGATTTCAAGAATCTTCTTCATTTTAAGAATAGTTATTTTTTTCTACTTCATAGAAACATGCAGAGGGGTAGTTATTTGTGGTTGCAGACCTTATTGCAAATTGGTTAGGGGATTAATTGGTTAACATATCTGACCAAAACCCCCACTGCAAGTCCTTTATATCTAACACATTCACTTGGAAAAATCACTTGCCGACAAAGGGAAGTGATGAAGGCCGACCTGACCTTTGTAGTTTCGCTAGATGCCAATATAACTGTGAGCTCTGAAACCTGGAATATGACTTCACTCACATCACATGTAAAAACTAAAACAAGATATAACATGCAAATATGGTTTATATGTTTCCTCTCTGTCAATGAAAAGTAAAGGTTTTTTACTAACATGAAAGTAATTTTTAAAATTGCGTTTCAGTACCTTTCATATGGTCCAGAGTGTTCGATCTGAATTAACTGATTGTGTCCATCAGGAAAAGTTAACTTACACCAGCCTAAGCTGAGCCCTGGATTTACCTTAAGAAGCAAGGAGGAAAGGGAAGTTTTATCATTTGAAAACAAAACAAAACAAAACAAAACACCCTGAAAAGAAAACCTTCTAATTTAACAATTTTAAAAAGTATATAAATCATTTAAAATTTATTATGACTAATTTAAAAGTTATATTTTACATGAGATATTATTAAACCACCACTTACATAATTACCAAAAAAGCAAAAATACTAGTCCCTCTCTCTAAAATGAGTTACCTTTATAGACATGACTATTTGCCACATCTACCTGATTTTTGCTAGGAAATCCAATGAGATCAGTAAAGCCTCTTGACAGATTTTACACTTCAAAAAATAAGTTGAGATATAGCAAAAAAAAAAAAAAAAAAAAAAGATTTCAGTCTGAAGTATACTCACCTGTTTCTTTCCAATAAAAGAGCCAAAATTCCAATTTAGGGTGAGAGTAACGCCGTCTAAAAAGATAACATGTACTTTGTCATCAGAATATGCAAGAAGTCTTCCCACGCTGGGTATGAATGATTCTCTCAAAAGCAAAGGCAGGATATTGTTATCACTTATCCCAGGGACCTGAACCAAGTAAGTAAAAACAGCAGGAAGTATAGTTATCCATTGATAAGATTTAAATGATTAATAAGTTCTGAGGCAACTTTCAGATTCTTATGCAGAAGTTGAATATTGTAGAATCTTTATGTATGTTTTAACTTTTCAAAAAGCGAATGCCCAAAGCAGTCTATTCCAAGCAAATTAAGCTCTACTATCCTGGGAGAGTCACTGTTCTGCTCTGAACTATACATAGAACACAGACAAAAATTAGCAACTACAGGAACATAACCAAATTAGTATAAATATAGAAATCAAAGTCTGAAATCACTTCCTCCAAATGAGCATTAAAGAGTGTTCTTTCACAGTATGGACGGGGAGTAGAAGACTGTAATATCAATGTTTACAATAACTATGTTTCTACATACAAATCCAATCAGCTCCCGTGGCCTTCCTGCTCCATTTAAAAGAAACAAAAACAAACTATATACAATAAAAATATAACATAAAGCCTCATTTTGCAGTGTTTACCTATTAAGTGGGTATTTTTCTGAATAAGTTAATATTAATTACAAAGAATTTCTCACACAACTTAGAGGAAAGTAATTTGAACTTAGGAGTATATATATAAACAATAAAAACACTTTAAAATATCTTGCTTTTGAATTAATTTTAAGATACCATTTTCCAGCAGCATATACAATAGTTATGGCTTAGAGAAAGCCTCAACTTGGCACAATACTGAAGAATCCTGTGAAGAGGAAAAACATGACTTCAACATTTGCAAATAATAGCATTTTCTAAAATTCTAGCAAAACATTCTCAATGCCATACAGCAGCAAGTTTCAGCCTTTTTCCCTTGTGGCACACATAAACTCATTATTCAAGTTCTGCAGCACACCAGAAAATGTATTTTTTGCTTATCTGACAAAAAATAGGTATAATTTTGATTCATTCACAGCAGACAGCTATTGTTGTGTTGACTGTTGTCATTTTTTTATTTGACAGTCTGAGGGGAAAGAGGTCAGTGCCCCTGACTAAATATTTAGGTATTGCATGTTTTAAAAATTCCTTTTTTCCCACTTTTTATTTATTAATTTGAGAGAGAGAGGAAAGAAGAGAGAGAGAGAAACACTGATTTTGCTGTTCCACTTACTGATGCATACATTGGTTGATTCTTGTATGAGCCCTAACCAGGGATGGAACCCGCAACCTTGACCAACTGGGATGACTCTCTAACCAACTGAGCTACCCAGCCAGGGCCTTGCATGTTTTAAAAATCCTTGTGGCACATCGGTTGAAAATCACTGCCATACGACATCTCAGGCAAGTAGTTCATTTCTACTGAAATATGTCCTGACCTATTTCCTTCCCGAAATCCTTAAGCCCTTAGACAAGAACTACTACTGTTCCCCTTTGTGCTGTCTTACTTATTGTACTTAAGGTTATTCCTCTAATGTTTAGCAATGAAATGATTCCAAACAGAATTTGTAGGTGCTACTTTTTAAGAGGGAAAGAGTCACAGTGCCTGAACAGTTTAGCATAGTCTGAGAGTGGTGGCCTGTAAATCAACTGTCCCTAGGAAATCAAATTACAGGCCTGCTCCTTCAAATCTACTTTGGAACTGGCTTAGATGTAGTTTATAAAAATAAATCATTTAATCTAACATTATGCTTTCACTCTTCTGAGTGCTATGATTAATTGGAATTTTTTTTAAAAACGTGAACCTAACTACACTTCATCTTCTGTACACATTTAGAAATCTTTATTACTATGAGGATAATAAAGAAGTATGAAAATTTTAAATATATCATCAAATCCTCAACTTAATTCCTAGAAATAATGAAGCCAAATTTATGAGAAGTTACCTATTTCTTAGCAGCACTTGCCACATATAAATGTTTCTCCATATTTCACTTTACATTTTAAAGATGGAATTACTCTTTTAATGACATAGTGATTACCTTATTTTATAAATGATGAGACCAGAAAAGTTGACAGATTTTTACCAGATACATATGTTTCCAGTGCACTATCGATTCTTAATTTCATCTTAATGGTTAGAAAAGGTAGCAAGGTTCTTGGAACTTACCTGGTTGCCTGTTTAATTAGAGAACACACAGAGAACAGACTTCCTGGTCTATCTGGAGGTAGGTTATTTACTGAATACATTTTCTCTTCCCTCTGAAAATTAGTTTAAGATGAAAAATATCATTAATAATAAACATTGGCCATTATTGCTTATTTTTCTTGAAATGTGTATTTACATAGCAACAAAGCAAGCAGTTATTTTAACTTAAAGGCCATAAAAACTGTATGTTTAAAGGTATATTATGACGCTTTTCCATTTTTCCTACCTATTCAAAAGTTATATTCTTATAGCCTATAACTCACTGTCCAATTTAAACCTTGCCTATACTAAAATTAACATGGTTTCAAACTAATTTTCCCACATATTAGGAAACATAGCACATAAACTTTCCCCTTTAGACAAAAAGACAAAAAAACTAAACACCAAAAAATTACTTTAACTGCATGAATCATTTTGTTATATATTCTTTATTAACGGAATAACTATTGCTACAGTTTGTGGAAGACAGTATTATTTATGATCTCGAGTTTAAAAAATAGTTATTCCTTCTGGATTTCCTCTTTCTCAGACCTTTTCCCCAAGACTTTGCCTCCAGCCTCCTCTTCTGGCTCCCTAGTTTCTCCTTGGGTGAATTCCACAGGGTTCAAAGCTATGTTTGTAATCATTACAATAGCAACAGCCAACATTTACTGAATAGTTAAGTGCTAGATGCCTATTAGATGAGGAAACTGAGTCTTGAGAGCTGAGTAGTAGAGATCTGTTTTGAACCACAAGAGAGTACAGCCCATATGCTACCATCAGAATTTAGTAATAGTATGTACTTAAAAATAATACATGGGATTTATGTAAAGTTAAATAGGGACTAAAGGGGGCAGTGGGAAGTACATATGAAACAAGTTGGGGGTGATAGGTACATCAAGGTCTGTTACACTTGTCTTTCTGCTTTTATGTATGTTTGAGGTTTTCCACAGTTAAAAAACAAAACAAAACTGCTCTATTTTTAACTCTTCTCCCTAGCACTCCTGATAACCTTATTACTTAAATACTCTCCTCTGTAATAGGGGAAGAAAATGCATTTATAATGTTCCATCCTGCAAAGCAAAGCCTTGTGGTGCTATGGTAAGCCCTATAAAAGGGTGATGTCAAATGTGGGACTGGGCACAAGAGTTACTAAGAAAATATCTACATTATTACATTTTGATCTGATTTGTTAAATATATCATGTTATGTTTCACTGTTTTCAACAATCTTTTTCTACTTTCTAGTTATATATAAAGATTTAGGAGTTAAGAGATATTTAAAATATGCAAACAATACATGCTGGGGAAAAAAGGATATGCTTTTTAATGTGCAAATATTAACTCAAAGAAGTATATCAACTCAAAGTAATGCTGCTGGGTTTAGTGTTTCCCATTGATAAATTCTGACAGAGAAATTTAACTTCTAATTTAAACACAAATTGCTTTGGCAAAGGGAAGACAGAATACAGTATGAGAACGCAGTGAAAATAAGGTGGTTAAAAATTATTGTGCCAATGCTGGCTAGTAGGTTATGTTAATTGTTCAGACTAACCAGTAGCAAGCAATTTCCCACATAGAGTCACAATTATTTGGAAACAGCTATATACCAAAAATCTTGAAGTAAGACATTACTGTCAGCTTACCTCTTCAGATCCTTCCTGAATGGGATAATACGTAAAAAAGTTCCCAAAATAAGCTCCTTCTGATTTGAAAACAGATCCATCTCCAGGATAAATCTCTATCAAGTTCACATTTTTATGGGTTAGTCTAAGGAAAAGAAATAATCACTTAAAAAATGTTTTTCTAATTGAGATTAAAACATGCATCAAGTCAATTATCAAACAAACAAACAAAAAAAGAAGTATAAATTTTTACCTATCCAGCAAACAGATAATTTCATATTCTGGACTACCAGCCAGCTAAATTAATTTTTTGCAAGAGAATAAACAGAGCGCAAAGAAGCGGTTGTTGTATCTGCTTGGGTGTCTAAGCACAGCTTCTGGAGGTGAAGCATCTTGTCTTACCGCCCTGGCATCCCCACGTCAGTGGCTGGTGCGTAACAGTCCCTAAGGCAACACTCATTGCATAGGAATTAAATATAACGACCCTAGAACCTGAAAGTAAGATTATTCTTTACTAATGCAATGAGTAAAATCATACCTGATAGAGGACATGAGTCACGTGAGGTATAAAAACTTAAGCCAAGTCAATTCATTGAAACATACACGAAGATTGTGTTGTCAGAAGTGAGTGGGTCCTCGTGCAGGAAAAAGAGAGCTCAAGCACGAACGGCGTGCAGGACTCCTCAGCATCATTTACAGACGTGACCCTCCGGAGCTGGCCAGCACTCGTGTTCCGGTCACTAGAGCCGGGGGGGAACTCAGGGGAATCATGTGGGCACAGCGCCGCTTCTGCGTGAATATCCGCTGCGTGAACGCAGGCTGCAGTCTCCCTTAAACTAACCTCTCTCATTCCGCGCTCACTAGGCAGCCTTCTGATAGGACTCATTCAGACGGCTAGATCCCCCATCCCTGGAATGGGTGTCCTAAATAGCTGAAATGCATATTTCATTCACTAGAAAAACTAATCCCTTGCTGCCTTTGGAGCTGTCACAAAAATCTTGCAAACATGGTTAATGTGAATCAGTAACAAGACCCCGGTGTACCCTAATGTAATTAAGTTTTATGATCTTAAATCTCAGGACCAAACACAGGAGCACGGTGGCCCCCACAAAACTGTGTCCTCTTATAGTTTATCTGCAAGGCTAGTCCTGTCTCCTCTGTGACATCACTGAACGGCTCCAACTCCAACGCAGGCGCCTCACCTGTATGTAACGCCCTTGTCCCAAACCACTTTCACTAGCTCAGGATAGGAGTATTCCTCTTCATCAGACTGTCCCAGGGAGAGGGAACCACAGAAGCTCCACCTATAGAGTATCAAACACAAGTCACTGTTTCTGGTTACTCCACATAATTACCTTGAGGAGTCAACAAAATAGTGCTACTATAACAACAGCGATTTCTTGCTTAATTCATTAGATCAAAAAAAAAAGGAAAAATTAATATGAAAGTATATTGATTTAATTTTAAAATGAGTCATTTTTTCATGCATTTGCAATAATCTCATTATTGAATCTCAGCACAATTACATAAATTAACAGTTTTACTAACCTTTAAAATTTAGGATTCAAACAACAAATATTTACTGAAATACCTATGGTGGGCCAGACACTGTAGATACACTGGCGCTATACCACCCAAAAGCAAACGTGGTCACTGCGATGTCAGTAAGTACTGAGCAGGGAGCAAGGGGAATCACTGCATGCTGTAGGGCCGCGTAAGAACCTTATCTGGCCTCGAGACTCCAAGAAAACTCCCTCAGAGGGAAGGCTCACACAGAGACCTGGGCACGATCAGAAGTTAGCCGAGTATCCCTGGCAGAAGAAAGAGCAGGCGCAGTGGCAGCAGAAGCTTGAGTGTGCTTTCTGAGGCCTGCAAGGAGTCCAGTTCAGCAAGAGGGGACCACAGACACAGGAAGGAACCAGGGAGTGGAAAGCCTATTAAGCAACATTGAAGGATAATGAATTTCAATCTAAAGTCAGTGGCAAGTTATTGAAAAATTATCGATTTAGAGGCATTAATCTCTTTTGATGCATACTTACACTACTGGATTCTCCTATCTTAACTAGATAATCATGACAAGCCTAAAAACCATTCCAATGTTGTAAATAACAAACAGGTACTCAAGACTACCTGGGATCAAATGCTAATTCTGCAAGTATTAGCTGTGTAACTTTGCTCAGGTTATTTAATATTTGTGTCTCAGCTTCCTCCACAAAACAGGGTGATGATAGATAGCACTACTATCTCATGGCATTACTACAGGGATGAAACAGGTAAAATACAACCGTACCCGGCACACAGCAAGTGCTTGGTGTTAGCTATTATCGTTATTACTACAATGCTTATACAAAGTTTGTATTACAAATGTATCATCCTTAGGTTATTCATCTCTTAATGGAAGTAAAAGGTTTATACCTAGCCATCCAGAAGCCCCTCCGTGTCACCCTCCACAAAGTGGACATGTTTGCAGTCAACCAAAGACAGGCATGGCCTCTGAGGCCAAGAAAAAACCATGATCACAGACTTGTCAGCTCTGTCTCCAGCGATCGAGGTAACAGGCTCCACTGAGTGGCAGCAGACGTGCCCACAGAGCCCTGTGCAGGTCCCTGGGCTGCCCCTCCCCACACTTTAATCATCTCCCCAGTCTTGGCCGGGTAGCTCAGCGGGTTGGAGCGTAGTCCCGATGCACCAAGGCTGTGGGTCTGCTCCTTTGTCAGGGCACGTGCAAGAATCAACCGATGAATGCGTAAATAAGTGGAAGAACAAACGGATGTTTCTCTCTCCCTCTACTAAAATCAATAAATATAAAAATTAAAAACATAAAAAATAATCTTTTCAGTGACAGTGACCCTCACTAGACTATAGGCTCCTAGAAAGCAGGGACTGTGTCTTAGTCATCTCTATGTCTCTGAGCTCAACAAAGCAGCTCACGTCCAGGTGACCTTCCCTAAACATTCCTTCCATGGACACAGTTAAGAAACATAAACAGCCCATTCACTAGGGAAATTATTTACTATCAGTTTTAAACAAAGTTTTGGATGAACTGAGTGAACTTTCCTTATGAATGGTATCAGGTCGTTTAGAACGAAAAATTACCCATAGGCGGACTGGTTCTGACAAAAGCTTTATGCCCAATCACTCATTCTTCCATTACCTGTGCAGGTGTGGGACAGGGCAGCTGAGTAACAGGGCCCTGGGAAGGACAGAAACCTCTTTTCCTCTTTCCTCTGAAACATCAGAAGTTAAAGCTGCATTCTGGGTGACAGGTACATCAGTTCCAGACAAACTGCGTATTTTATTATGAAAATGAAGTGCTAAAGACAGAGGGTATTTCCATTCCTCTGGACAGGAGGCCACAGACCAGCGCTGCTCTACCCATGTGTATACACACGTGTGCTTCGTGCCAGGCAGAGGCAGCGCCTCCTTCCCCTCGGTTCCATTTGCACAACGCTCCTTCTCCGAAGGTTCTTTGGATTTCACGACCTGACAGTGAAGTTCATTTTCTTCATTCTTCAGGCTCTGTCCTGGTAAGCTTCCACATGTGAGGATTTTGCTGGCTTTTTCAACCAGTTTATCTTTTTTGGCTTGATTTTTTTTTTCAGACAATACTGTAGACGAGTCTGGCTTCTGGCTTACTTTACACAAAAAACGTACTGTGAATTCATGCCGAGATGCAGGCAGGCAGAGGTAGGCGTGACCATCTAAAGAGGCTACCTTCACAGTGCCACCCTGCAGCCACGCCACGCTGTCATCAGCATCGGGACTGGGCCACCGCACTTCTGAGACGTCGATGAAAACACGCTGAGGGAAGAAAAAGGAGATGGTCAGTATTTTCTGTTAACAGACCAAATTTTTCCATACATTTGATACTTACGTATGTGTAAGAAAGCTCTTAAAATTTGTTTTACTACGTAAAGAGAATAAAAAAGGAGAGCCAGGTGTCAGCCTACATATGGTTTTCCACAGAATATTTGATATTGTGAAGATTATCTCTTTAGAGCAGTAAAACAGACGCATGCTGACAAAAACTGAGAGAAAAGAAAAAAATCATCCTAATTATATCCAGTGTTAGACATATTTTTTGTTTAAGATGATGTACAGCAAATCAGAGATAAAAAGATTTTGAACCATTCCCAAAAGTCTTCTCTCAAAAAGACTATAGTCCTGGCTGGTGTGGCTCAGTGGACTGAGTGCAGGCCTGTGAACCAAAGGGTCACCAGTTCAATTCCCAGTCAGGGCACAGGCCTGGGTTGCAGGCCAGGTCCCCAGTTGGGGGCATGTGAGAGGCAACCACACATTGATGTTTCTCTCCCTCTCTTTCTCCCTTCCTTCCGCTCTCTCTAAAAATAAATAAATAAAATCTAAAATACAATAAATAAAAATAAAAAGACTATAAATGAAGGAAGACTAGCACTATAATGTACAATATTAAAAGCAATCATAACTGAAATGGTATGAAACTAGCATATAAAGCATTGACAGAACTCAGAGAACACAGAAACTGACTCAATATATCTTAAAAATGTTACTTGTGATACAGGTTTTTCAAAACAAAGGGGGAAAAGGGAGAAGTATTTAATAAATGGTACTGAATTGTTCAATAGCACTTGGGAAATATCTCAGAGGGTTATGCCCTCGGCTAAGGTACCTGCCCTGGATAGCACCTGCAAACCAGACACTAAAATAAATTCCAGACGACTCAAAGTGTAATATTTTAAACAACTGAAGAAAAAAAGTAACATTTTCAAAGGTAAGTGGATGGTAACCAACAGCAAGCAGACTCCTCACAGGTCACAGTGCCTGCTGTAGATTTTCGTGTCAGACAGAAACAGCAGGTGTCACAGAAAAGTCTTTTTATCAGTTAATCTTGCCAACAGCTAAACATTTCAATTTCCACTTATATAGAACTTTAAATTTACAAAAATCTTTGTCAAGAAAGCTTCTATATTTACAGTGCTATGTTCGTATACTAACATTAAGGGTGGTATTCATTGACGGCAAAGCTGGTTTGTAGGGATGATTGGTTCAGAAAGTTCTCTCTTCTAGAATTAGAATACCTGATAATCCTACTGCAGTATCAGCAGCAAGACACACAATTTCAATGAATAAAATTACTCCAAAGATACAGCGGGGAAACAGTCTTGCAGACTAAGTTACAGCTTACAGTTTTTCAAGGCTTCTTTGTCATGAGACAGCATTACAGAAAACCGGGACAGCAGTAGAAAGTGGTTAATGGGCGGCCTTCGGAGCCAGACTGGGTTCAAATCACTTAGCCAGTAAGAAAATTTCTATGGACAAATTAGGTAACCTCTCTGAGATTTAGTTCTTTCACCTTTGAAAAGGAGCTGCTATCCAGCCAACAAAACCTTTTCTGACTGCTTGGATGCCCATTTTGATCAGCAGGCACACCAAGGCATACTGGTACTTTTAAATATTTTTAACGTCCCTCCCAGTTCTTAGCCCACAGTAAACCCTCAGTAAAAGATAGTTATTATTATTCCTAAAAGTTCAAAATCAAATATAAGCAAAAGAATAAAATTTGTATGCCCATAAGCAATTATATATCTCTATTACACATTAACAAACAACTACACATATGCTACTAAAAATGTTCACATAATTTCTTAAATTTCACATCTCTAAGAATCAAACAGTCACCAACCTGAAAAGCTCTGAGTATAACCCTTGGCTACAAAGAAAAAAGACAGGGTAATGAATTATGTAACCTCTGTGTCTCAATCAATATATAAAACATGAAAACTCCCTGGTCTGGTGAAATATAAAGGCCTATGCATCCTGTAGCAACATGTCTATTCCAAAGTGTCATAGAGAAAAAGACTAAATATTAAACAGCGTATTTCTAATCATTTGTCCTTGAATCTTACAAAATTGAGGTTTAAAAAATTACCTTTTTTCTTTCAGAAGGTATAATGTTTTCAGATAAAAAAGGGTAAGTGGCGAAAGTGTTTCGAAAATCTAGGGCTCGCTGTAGTTGCTCCTACAAAAAGATACAAATGTAATCTTAAAAAATTATTGGAAATAAATTTAGCATGGCAGCTAACCAGCATACACACATTCTGACACCACAGCAACATTTTAGTACTAAAAAGACTGGCGTGTGTGTCATCTTTACTTACTCGGTAAGTGCTAATAACAAAGTGTGTCCTTTGACGAATTCTTTCTGGTTGTTCTAAAGGATGTGCTGAAACAGGTGGTGCCTTTTCAAATAAGAATTCAGCACCACAGGGAGAAAGCTGCAGCCTGGAACCATCGACATATTGCACTTGCACCGAATCGTCTTCATAAAGCACCATCCGCACTGCAGCCGCCGTCATACTACTGGGGATAAAATGTCCTTCCAAGGCAAAGGCTGAGGAAATAGGACACAAGGGCACAGATCGTTCTCTCAATGTACAAAAGTTCTATCAAAATAAGCTCATGCATTTTCTTAGGACAAAAGTAAAGCATATTGCCATTGCATTTACTTTTGTTGAAGGAATGGTGATTATCTTACTATACACACTTAAATGACCTGAAATTAACATCCTTAACAGAAGGTTTTGATTAGCCCCCAAGGCTTTACTCCAGGGTGGGTACAGAACCTAGAGGGAGAAGACAGCCCACCAAGTTATAGCTGCCTTTATCATTTTAGGAGCTTTACTTCTCCTGAAGTTCCATTTCAGAATATTATATGCTCACCATCTCACTTCCAACAAGTAAATTCCACCTTTGCAATAAGAATCCAGCAAGTCATCTGTAATACAATGCAAAAGGCATGCCAAAAGTGACTCTTAGGCCTAAACGAACACCTGGGTTCTTGTCCCTAGCCTGGCATTAAGGAAGTATCTTAATGTCACTATTGAGCAACCTAACTCTTCTCCTAGGTCTTAGATTCTTCCTCGTCTCATTCATTTCTATGTCCTCTTCTCCACCTCTAACATGGCTTGTGACCTGCACCCACGCTTTCCATATAGGTATGATGGAAACGGAATTAGACGGCTGGGTTCCACACATGTCCACCACGTACTAGCTATAAGCTTCAGGTTGGTTGTTTCCGTATGTATAAAACGGGGATAGTAACAGGATTGTTAAGAGGATTAAAATGAGGTAACACATATGACAGTATCTAGTATTGTGAACGTCACCTCATAGGAGCTCAATAAATACGATTCCTTTCTAACACTCTCCCTGCAACTCCTTCTAGGACATTATTTCCTTCTACTACTCAGGTGATCAAGATTCACCTGACAGAAAAAAATAACTTTCCATAGCTACCACTTGGCCTCGTTACCCCTAATTCCTACCAATACACCTCTCTGGTGTAGTATCCATTCATTGTCCATCGAGCTTCAGTCCACTGCAATCCAGCTTTCTCCTCCATCTCCTTCTGAAACCGTTTCACGATGGTCCCCAGTGTTGTCCTGCACCTGGTGACTCCAGTCTTCATCCTATCAAACTGGTCGGCTTTCAACAGCACTATCCACCTTCCCCTGTAGCAAACTCCCTTTTTCTCTGCCTTTTATTTTAAGAAACGGGGAGAGGGGCTGCCACAGCTTCTCCACCCCCCACCCCAGCCTACCTCTGTGTTTGGTTTAATCATTCCTTTTCACCATTCTCTTAGATCAAGGATTCAAGACCTGACCTCTGTCCCCATTTCATCTCTTACTATATATACTCGTCAGTTTTATGTCCACCTTTGCTTTTTTTCCAAATCTTACCACCTTTCAATGTATGTAACCGCTACATATGATTAGCTAATAATTGTTTCTGTACAATGTCAGGATATAAGTAAATGTTAAACCACAGGATCTCTCCTGAGGCGATTCAGACAACTTATTTATTTTCTTTCTCTAAAGAACTTCCAAATCTACCTCACCTTCTCCAGAGCTTCCTGCTGCCTGCTCCACCTCTCCTGTGCCTGTCCATGGAGAAATCAAACTCAATGTGACTAAAATGGAACTCAGTCACAAAAGAGCCAAAGGGATCTTTTAAAATAAAAATGAGACGTCACTCCCTGGCTCACAACCTACCATGTGCACTTAGAATAAAACCCAAGCTCCTAACCATGGCCTAACCTAAGCCCCACAGCCTGGCCGCTCTCTCACTCTCAAAATGTCATCTCCTAATTCTCCTTGTACAGGGCACTAGCTCCATTGGCCTTTTTCATGTTTTTTGAACTAAGCTGTTTCCCATCCCAAAACCTCAGCACTGTTCTTTCTGCCTACAATGTTCTTTTTCTAACTCATCACATGGCTGCCTCTTTGTCACCATTAAGATCTCGGTGCAAATGTCACTTTTTTCCAGGCCTGACCCGACCTTCTCAATTACAGTTGCTCCCAACCATCTCCCAGTCACCTTTTATCCGTGTCAGCCCCTGCCTCCACGGCACCTAGCACGCTCAGAACTGATTCTACTTTTGTACTCACTTTGTGTCTTTTCCCTCTAGGACATAACGCAATCAAAGCAGAGACTTCATTTGTCTTACAGGACAGGAGTTACAACTGTACTCCTGGCATCTAAAACAACACTTGGCAAATAATAAGCGTGCAATAAATATTTACTTAATGATAAAATAAGTACATTTTAAAATTCTTGCTTTTCTTGATTTTGCAATTTGAGTGCTTGTATCTCAGTGTTAGCAATGTCTGACTTCTCACTGTTTCCCTCCACACTCTTCTAACAAGTCCTGTTCCTTTTGTCTCTCTCATGAACCCATCTCCTCCTCCTCTACTTCAGGGCGTCAACTCTCGCCTCAATTCCGGCGGCTCCGTGGGACCTTCTCCAGCTTCTCCCCGCTCCCGTCCATTCCCAGTATTGCTGTCATACGTAACTGCCCACAGCCCAGCCCATACCAACCCCTTTACATCCCTCGTTTACATGCTTGTTATGTGGCAATAAATATTCATAGCCATATATATGTGACATGTACACATACAGGACATCTACTTGCTATTTCGGAAAAAACAGAACAGGTGCATATACCAAGGAGGAAAACATATTTTCTGGTTATACTTGGGAAAGTCTCTACCTTTGGCCAAGGTTTTTATTTCTTTATAAACAGCTTATTGAGGTGTAACTTTTTAAAATAAGAAGCATATACAAGAAACAGAAGTCTAAAGTTCCAGGCATATCATAAATCCACCCCAGCCCCCATTTCCAGCCACAACAGTCTTACTCCTTACAGTTTGCGTCTTCAACACCCAGCACGCTATGTTTGAGTATGTTCAACGATCACAAGGCCTGTTCTGCCCTGGCTGGTGTGGTTCAGTGGATCCAGCACTGGCCTGGGAACCAAAGGGTCTCTGGTTCGATGCTCAGTCGGAGCACACGTGGGCTGGTCCTCAGTGGGGGGCGTGGGATAGGCAACCACACCAGGAGATGAAACTAAAGGAGATGTTTCCCTCTCCCTCCCTTCCCCTCTCTAAAAATAAATAAAAATCTTAAAAAAAAAACCCCAAAAACAAACCCAACATATTAAAAAAAAAAAAAAAAAAAAGCCTGTTCTTGGGGCAAGACCGTCTGTTCCTGACACCAGTGGGAATCTTTTTCTTTTTCTTTTTAATTTTAGGGCTAAAGGAAGGGAGGAAGGGGGACTGAGAGAGACAGCGATTGTGGTTCCGCTTATTTTTGCATTCCTCGGTCGATTCTCGCACGTGCCCGGCGCGACCAGGGCAACCTCATTCTTCAAAATGCGATATCTAGTTACAGAAAAAGCTCACCGAAGCAACCAACGTTTGCAACTCACACAGCAGTTCCGAGCTGAAAAGTCGTGGAAACGAGGCCAGTCAACGGCTCCTGCGCTTTAACTCGCCGAAAGGCTCCACCCGCAGCGTCTGCGCCAGTCCATGACTGCTTCTCGAGGAACTTTTCTTGAATTTAACAAATTACCAACAAGTGATATTTCTCGATGAAACAAAACAGTCACAACCGCAGGGGAACTAAGGCTACAGGGAGAGTGTTCTGGCCGACGCATCCGTCAGGCCTGAGTCGTCGGAGCAGCGACAGCGCGGGCGGTGCCCCAGAGAGAAGACAGGCAGACAACAAAGATTGAAACCAACCCACCTCCCGAGGCAACCGCTTCTCACGTTTGAAACTGGGAGGCCGGAAGTTCCGCCCCGGCCGCGCCCCGGCCACGCCCCAGCTCCGGGGCCGCGCCCCCTCGCGCTCCCCGCAAAGGGCGGGGCCGGAAGTGGGGAAAGCGTCGGCGGGGGTCTCAATCGGGAATCCGGTCGACTCCTCTTCCGGGCTTACTTCCTGGTACCTCAACACAGAACCAGTCCGACCTGGCGGTCAACGAGCCGGCGGGACGACCCTTCTAACGGTCCAGCCACGCTCAGCACGCGGGCGGGCGCTATGCAGTGCGCTTCTTTAAGCAATTTGAACGACAGTTTCCCCTCAAGAAGGCTGTTTACGCCTAACCTGACCAAAGATAGAGGCCTTTTCTTCTAACCTGGTGTCAGAAAACATGTCTTTCAACTACGTATCTGCACCTTTATCTAAAATGGCAAGTAGACTTGACTGCTCTGTTAATCGTCATTAACCAAGTATTCACGGAGCGCCTGTTATGTGCTAGGCACGCTGGGGAGAAAGCAGAAAAGGGGTCCCAGGGTCGAGGGTAGGAGCTAAGATTAACTGGAAAGAAACGGCTAGACAAGAATTTGATCAGAGCTGTGGTAAGTGATCCTAAAATAAAATGCACTGGTCGGTGGCAGCATATAGGGGTAGCCGTAGCCTGGGCTGAGCAGTTATTTCCGCGGAAATCCAAAGGATAAGAAGGTGTTAGCCAGGCAAAGAGGAGCGTTTCAGGCAGCGGCGACAGCCTGGGCAAGGCCCCGGGGCCAGAAAGCCAGTTTGGTTCCGAAGGATTAAAGAGAAGAGAGAGGCAGAGAAGCCTGCTGGGGGCGAGGAGAGAGGCAGGCCAAGCCCAGGGTGAGTTTATGGATTACAGGCTTCATCTCAAAAGCAGTGGTAAACCGTTAGGTGGGCTTTGAGCCAAGGTGGCAGCAGCGCCAAGGGGTGGGGAGAAATCTAACTCCTTAAATCCATCTCCGTTTGTAACCACTGATGGGTACATTGACCTCAGACCTTATGCAAAGTTGTGTTTCACACAGTGCTCACTTAGGTCCTGTTCCTCTCCTACCTTCTCTCCAATGTCTGAGAACCTGCTAGATATAAATTCTCTTCACAACTGAGGGGTTTTGTGGTGCTATTTGTGCTTTAGAAATATTCCTCCACTGCTGTGTGGAGAATGCATTGTAGGGTGCGAGAGCGAATGTGGGAGCCCAGCAGAAGGCCCTGGAGAAAGAATCGAGAGACGGCAGCGCAGGCGGGGCAGTGAGGATGGAGAGCACAGCCCCAAGGAATATTTAGAACAGCTACAAAATCTGGGTAATGCTTGAGTGCGGGGGCTTGCGGGCGGGGGCGTTAAGAGTTTACAAGTTCTAGGTTTTCTGGTTTGTGCCAATGGCGAGGTGGCAGCGCTCTCAGTGAAGGGGGCGGGGCAAGAGCAAATTTAGGGGCCAGCATGACTTCAGGTTCGTAAGTCCTGGTGGACATGACAGGTCAGCAAAGGTGTAGAATCAGAGTGGAAACAAATCTGGAGGTCACCTTGGCCTGACAGCTGCTGACTGAAGTCCAGGAATAATGTGACGTGAGAGAAGAATGCCAAGGACTGCGCTTTGAGGAACACCAGTCCGTACAGGTGAGGTCACAGAAGAGAACCCCACAGAAACCCTGAGGGACAGCACAGGACTAGAAAGCAAGCGACTGTGTTCCAGACGTCCAGAGGTTTTCAATTTTGGCATCACTTGGCAAAGTTGTCCGCTTTCACCTAGAGAACAAGCGAAAGAGTGACGTGTCTACTAGATTTTGGAGACATGAAGGTCATTGGTCTCCAGTGAGCGTTGTTGTCTATATGGCGGCAGAAGCTACCGTGGGTTTGAAGAGCAATCAGAAGGGAAGGAAATGGAAAGAGTGGAACAACACTTGAGTCTGACTCAGAAGCAGACAGGAGTAGTTGGAGAATGGGAGGCATGTTCAACAGCTCATGCAAAGATCCAATGGGGAGACATAAAAAATACAGACCAAATGATAACAGAGCTCAGAGTGAGAGAGGATGGGATTTCAGCACATTAATAATTGGCCTTTCATAGGAGCAACCTTCCCTGTGCAGGAGGAGGGGTTAAATGAATGCAGATGCATTTGTGTCCATTTGTCTGGTGGCTTTCTTTTTCAGTGAAGCATATCATCATTTAGGGGATGGAGCAGATCAAGGTCTAAAAAAGGAATAAAGAAACAGTAAGATTATTGGCAGAGCTGACAGCCTAATTGAAGGTGGTGACTATGAATTTACAGGGGTACAAACCTACCAGAAATATGACCGTCAGCTGTCTAGATGCTGGCCCAGTGTAGGGTTCATCCAGGTTTGACATCTTGACAGGCTAACACAATATGGCAGTAGCACACATGACTGTGAGTTATTTACATCTGCCAAAGTCGTCAGCCAAAGACCACTAGGCTCAAGCCTTGCAGTGTGACAAAATCATATTGATTGATTTGCAGGCAACGGGGCTCACTCCAGAGGAGCCATGAATGGCACTCTTTGCTGTGGTGGTAGGAGGGCGCCGTCTTCCGTGAGGTCTGGGCTCCTGCTGAAGGGTGCTGGGAAGCTCGGGGGAAGGGGGACGAGGTCTGGGTTGCAGGCTGTGTCTCAGGATTAGGAGAGGTGGGCGGTTTCCTAGGGGTGGGTGCTCTGGGGAGCGAGGACAGTCTAGCTACTGGGTATCCCCAGTAGTAGGTGGGAGGGGGTAGCAAAGAAGTCTGGACCTGTCCTTCTGAACAAAGCAGTGGTCGCACTAAGAAAGAAGGGGTCACGGTGACGTTACAGCTGCTGCACAACCTTGGCAGAAACAGCGTTTCCTGTTAAGCCTGCAGTAGTTGTGTCCACCCTCCCAGCCGGTCGAGCAGCAGGGCTTGCTTTTTTCTCTTTGCAGTTTGAGTCAGTTTTCAGTCCTTCAGTCCTGGACAAGTTCTTACTTTCATACCAAGCCATTTCCTCCTCTCTTGCCAAATGCGACTTTTAAAACAAATTACAACTTTATATCTATCTGTGCCCTAATAAGATTTAATGAAATACCCAATTACAGAGTTGCCCCTGCTTTCTGATAATGTCTAGCAGGTGTCCAACCTGTGGCCTGCGGGCCACACGCAGCCCAGGATGGCTCTGAAGGCAGCCCAACACAAAATCAGAAATTTACTTAAAACTTTTTGTTCATCAGTTTTTGTTAGTGTTTGTACATTTAATGTGTGGCACAGGACGCCAAAAGGTTGGCTACCCCTGCTTAGACCCTCCCCTGAACCACCCCATCAAAGCCCATATCCTGTAACTGGTTGTTTCTAACACTTCTTACTGACACAACCCACAGCTCCCCAGTGTACAGTCTGTCTTACTACAATACTGAACCCAACATGTCTGGGGACAGGTGTGTTCCCAGTAGTCTGGCTGAAGGGCATTGAGAACACAAAGAGGGTCTGAGGTGATGACATGACCACCAGGTTCAGACCAGCGGTCGCACTGCTCCTCCACAAGACTAGGGCACTGACTGGCTCTTTTGTGTCCTTGCTCTTTGCAGACTTGTACTAATTAATAATCCTGACACAAGGCTTACTGGTTCATGGAAGATATGGCAATCCTAAAGGCCAGCAATTGTAGCCTAGGACCAAATCTTTTAATTACGTACTGTTGCAGTTTTAAAACATGGTCACACATTCCCTGATGCCCCGTTTGATACGGCCTTAGCAACTGGACCAAGAGACTACAGTGCAGGTCTTGCTACCCACTGCTTCTGAATGCAGGCTCTTCCTGAGTCTTCTGGAATGTTCACTCCCACCTCCATGCAGCAGCCATGTTGTGAAAAGGGTTGTCTTCTAGTTACCTCAGCCGTTCAAGCCACCCCAACCCCCCAGGTCCCAGCTGAGGCCTCAAACATGATAGGCCAGGAGGCACAAGACCCACGAGCATAATAAAATGCTTATTGCACAGAGACTCTGAGTTGGGGCGGTGTTTTAAGCAGCACCAGTAACTGGGACACTCTGTTGGAGGCTGTCAGGAGCAGCGGTAGATGTCAGTGAGCTAGCGGACAAAAGGACAAAACTGGATGCTATCCAGAGCGAATGCTCCAAGTTTATCAAGTTAGCATGTGCTTGGCCCCTGGTCTAACCTTTAGCCCCTTCCCCGTACTTCCTTCCTCTGCCCCCAGCTAGACAGTAGCACCATCTTTAGAGAACCTCAGATTAAGGTAACAGTTGTTACAGGAGCCATTTTGAAAAAAAAAGTTCTGACTATTACAATTTCCAAATTGCATATACAGGTTGGGACAAGAGGGGGTTTACAGCTGTGAGTATACAAAACAGTTGATTATTGTATTATTTATTAATTATTGTAGTCTTTTCCATACAAACTATAAACCTACTTTTGACCCACCCTGTATACTTCCCTTTTACAATGAAGAATCTAAAAGTTTTTTAATGTTTTGTACTTGCCAGTTTTTCCACCTAGGTTTGTTATTGAACTGAATTTTTATTCATGAGACACTGGATAGACTATCTTCCATACCAGTTTAGTTTCATAATTTTATAATGTCATATAAAAAAGTTCAACACAAATTCTTTAAAATACCAGGATACCACTCCAAAAACTTAGAGAAAACAAAACCATTTCAATTTTATTTTCAAAGTCTAATTTTAATCCAGACTGAACAAACAAGCAGAAAAGTGAGAAAGCCAACTGTAGTAGCAGACACAGGTGTACCAAATGTAAAACAGTGGGGTTATTAACAGAACTATTTACATGCATATTTACAAGCAATCCTTTTGTACATAAGTTTTACTTTCAGTTAGTTGGAAAAAGATTTCTGACATTAGGTAAAAATAGGACTAAGGTGATACCACATTATAGCAAAAGTATTAGAAAAGTGATCCTCAAGGTGTATCAATTATAAAGGAGATGAAAACTGAGTGACAAAGATCTAGCAAAATTCTCTAGTAAAAAAGTCAATGCAACTCATGCTACCAAATAAAAATGAGAAAGCCTTATAAATAAAGCAGAATAATGTCCTAGGCTTCTGAGTAATGAAGTTAGGTGAAAAAACAACGATTTAGAATTGCAGTAAATCCTCGGTGAAGAATCCTGGTTGTTTAGTTGGGGGTTCTAACTCTTTTTTATGACATTTTAAAAGCCCTTGGTATCAAACAACATCTGGATGTGTAAATCACTTAATGATACATTCTAAGACTTTAGTGCCACAGATTTTTATGATTGTGATTCATATTTGAAACCCAATTCACTGAGACACTAAATGTAAAGCTAAATGAAAGTTATTACTCAACTAAAAAAAAAAGGATGCTACATTTTTGCAGTAATATGTATTTCCAGACTAAGACTTTTTCCCTCAAGAAAAGCTGAATTTAAAGGATAAGCTTCTAACCAGCTAGCAAAATTTACTTTCAACATTTCATTTATTTCAAAATCGATTTTATTGCAGCCAAAACAGTGGAATTAACTGTACATAATAAACTATTTTATATATATACACATTTTAAGTTATAGGGAATAAAGTTTATTTTGGCAGATAGTGTTAAACAAAATTAAAGTTGCATACATTAGTAACATAACTCAACATCCTTAATTTGGTATAAGTGACACAATTTTCTTGCTGTCCTGTGTTCTGCTAAATCACCTTAACCTAAACTGCTTTATAAAACTGATATGGTGAAATTTAACTTTACTGTTTTCGCTTACACTCTGATTCCAAACAAAACTTTTCATAAGCTTCTTCTATCTCTGGGTCCATCTCATCATCAATATCATCCAAGTATCTGGAAAAAAAGCAAAGATCACTCGTAAGTTTTTTTCAATGCAGAAAATGTCTTATACTAAGCCATGAGGAAAAGCATGTGATATAACTTTCCTAGATGGGTTTGATAATGCGAGCACTCTCTAGAATTACATTAAATGTCAGCCCTCAGACAATAAATGCTTAATATGGTGTGTTCAGTTTTACAGTGGATTCTGAATTCCTTCTGTTTGAAGATTCTGCTATACTTTTAGACATGTTAAATTCTTTAACCTAATCTAAAAGTTAAAGGCTTTACATATAAACTTTGGGCTCAAGATTGACATTAATTTCATAAATTTAGCTTGTTAACAACACTTATACTATAATTAGAACATAGAATTTCAGGTGTACCATTCCCTTCTAAATATGCACTAATATTTTATGTCTACTTAACATCAGAAATAGTATTTCTGCAATGACAACTTAAGTCACAATCCACTGGGAATCACACTTTCCCAGCAAGAAGCTACTTTTGAGGTCACCTATTGCATTTCAGGTTTTTTCCAACTATTCAGTAGTTTAAAATGATGGAAAACTAGGCTTTCCATAATTTAGTGCCCACAGAGGCCTTCATATACACACATCCTCACTGAATTCCCAGAGCCATCTTGGAAAGACAGGTACTACTATAATCTTAATGCCAAGAACAACTTGAACTTCCAGTGGTACACTGAGCAGGGTTTGAATTTCCCTAACTGTGCTTGTGCTTAGGTCCTTAAAGCCTTGTATTTTTCCTATTAAACTAGTTTATAAAAGAATGACTGTATATATAAGAAGATCATAAACTGACTTACAATTAAAAATGTCACTAAAGAAAGAATAAAGGCAGTTCACTATTTTTTAAAACCCACACACCAAGAGGAGGTCTGTAAGAAAAGGTGGAATCACAGATTTAATTTACTCTTCCCTTAGGAAGAAGAGGGCCGGCGCAGCTTGTCGCAGTCCATGTGAGCTGTCAACAGGGCTGGGACTAACCCTTGCAAGCTTTTCCCCCTTCTGTAACAGGATGCAGTTAAGTCTGATGATAAGTGAGTAATACACCAAAAACTTCTTACCTACCAAGAATGGCAGGTAAAGAAGCTGAAATATGAGAACTGTTCCCATCAGTCCAAACATTTCCGTGCAGTAACCTGCTTTCTTAGGCTTAATTCGCCCTGTAACAGCTCAGAGAGGGTCTCTGCCACTGCTCTCTGCCAGAGCACTTCTGTCTTCTCTTCTCATTCTCAAAAACTCTAGGAGGGCAGTGCTCTTCCTGTTTTACAGATGGAGCCACTTGTCCAGGTTCTCACAGTATTAGAGCTATTTATTGTACAGTTTTAGGTATGATAATAGAATCTGTTTTGTAAAAACTAATTATGCTTGAGTATACTACATTTTAATAGTTTTCCCCCTTAACTTTATATAAATTTTTAAAACCAGTTTGTGTGGTTTCCAACATGATTACCTGAAAAGTTTTGGTAAATAAGTACTACGTATATACCACTATAATACCATCAAATCAAAATGCACATTCTTTTATCTACTTTTTTTCTAGTCTAAACTCCTATGTAAGCTGTGGCCATAGAAATTTCACAAATAAACTTAGTAGCTAAAGAGAGCTTACGGATCACTAGCCCCTGATAAATCGGTTCCATTTTCTTCATAATCTGGAAAAAAGTCTTCTCTTTCAAGTAACTCTTGATATTTCTCTTGGTAATCTACAAAAAAAAAAAAAAAAAATTAAATGCTAAAACATTCATATGAAATAGCCAGTTATTAAGAAATATTCAATATTATGATGTGACATTTAAGTAGATCTGAAGTTTAAATACCAGTAAGCTGTGTTTGTTTATCAAGTAAGCTTAATTACATACGAATAGCTTTTGCAAAACTTAAATTCTAATTGGCTTGCTTTTGCCCCCTGCATGCTCATGAATCTTAATTATATATATTTTCCTCTAAATATAAGTTGGAACTCAAAGCCATTGGGAACATACCAGAGTACATCTCCCGGCCTATGTGTATGCTGTCTACATTCTCTCCTGCTTCTTTCCCTCAGACAAAACACTAGTTACAGTTTGCTGGGGAAGAACTTGTTTCCCCATTCTCCTGTTTTCCTTCCACAAGGAGAGATTTCATTCAAATAATCTGGTGTCCAGCTCTGTTACTCCTCCCCAAGGAGGTCCAGTGAGCCATCGACCTGGCTGGCAAGCAATAGCCATGGGCCCATGGTCCTCAATCAGAGGAAGCTGCCCTAACAAGGGTCCATGCACAGGGCATTTTTTCCTTTCTTCCTGGGCCTTAGAGACAGCTGGAAAGTAGCTACCTAATCAATGTTTCAGCTGGGGGGGGGCGGGTGCTCTTCCTAGGTGATACAAGTGATAGCATAGCTCTCCATCTGCCAACTGCCCTCAGCACAGTTACTGCATCTATTATAAGATTAGCATGGCTGTAGGGAGTCCCTACCACTGAATAATAAAATGCATCAGTGTGTATTAAAACTGTCACCTTAAAATTAGCTTCTTGTGAACAACAGCTACCTCAAATTTCAAAAGGATAATATATTTGACCAGGTAAAAACTATGTTTTTCCAAAACTGTCAGTTGCTATAAAACTTTAATTCCAGTTTAAAGGATGAGCAACATTTTTGACATTCAGTTTTGGCAATTTGGAGACCATTTGAACTATGAAACCTTCCTACAACAAATACTTGAGGTATCAGGTAAGAAAAACATTTTTTCAAATGTACAGATGAGGTCACAAAAAACATCAAGTCTCCTGATGACAGAAATGAGAAGGGAACTGAAAGCCACACACAATTACTACAGCTGGGAGGCCTTTGGACCACGTGGTAACCACAACTGAACTTGGATTTTAAACCCACAGGTCCAAAAGAAAGGCCTTGGGCCCACTGAAACAGGAAGACGGAATTCACGCCCCCACTCGTCTTACTCTTCACAAACCCAGGACGTTCAAAGGGCTGATTATCTCCAGAAAAAGATGAACCAGGTAAAAAACAAAATGTAAAACACCTCAGTGGCAAAGAAGCCTGGTTGTGTCTGTCTGGGTTTGGAGCAGGGACAGTGGTACTCTAGCTCCCCAGAGAATTTGAAACAATGTCTGTGCCTCAAAATTTCACTACCTATATAAAAAATACAAAACAAAAAAACCCTACGACAAGAAAAAATCTTGTTGCAAGCCACTCTTACACCTGTGGCTCCCAGTAGGAGCAAATATAAAACCCACATTGGATAGATTCACCTACAATCCAAGCCACAAGCTCCTGTGAAGAAAAACAAAAGGGCACTTAAACACTAGAGCATTCATAAAGGACAGAGCAAATGACAGGAAAACAGATCACACAAAGATGACAAAGAACCACAAGGAATCGAAGTAACTTTGAAGCATAAAAAGGAAAATCTGTCTTACCCAGGTTATAAAAGATTTACAGCAAGGTCAGAATAATTAAGAATATGGTGCTGGTGTTGAGACAGACAAACAGAAGAAAGATCCACATGCAGAGAGAGGAATGAGACAGATTACAGAGGAATTACATGGTACACAAGAGGAACACTTTATCTAAAAGAGGAAGGATGATTCAACACCTGTTGTTAACATGAAGACTATGAAAAAATATTTAATTCCTACTGTATCCCACACATAAAAATTAGCCAGGTTAAAGACCTAAATATAAAGCAATAAAAGATTTATAGAATAAAATGGAATTTGATAGTAGCAAGGAGACTAAGTCACACAAAGCACAAATGACATAATTTAGTTTACATTAAACTCAAAGCCTCCTCTATGTTAAGACAAACAAAAAGGAAGATGGGAAAAGAATTTCCTTTCTAGGCTATGCAAGGAATTACAAATCAACAAGGGAAACAAATGATCCAACAGAAATATGGGCAAAGAACACAAATAGGAAATTGGCGAAGAAATCAAAAGTTCAAGAGAAACATGAAAAGAAATTCAGTATCATGAGTAAGAAAATGAATTTTAAAATTTCATACAATCAGACTGACAAAAATTAGGTCTCGTACTTAGTGTTGCCAAGATGAGACAGGAACCCTCATATGCTGTAAAAACTAAGTCGTATAATTGCCTGAAAAGCAGTCCAACAACATTTAGTGAAGCTGAAGATGCAAATAGCCTATAATGTGACAATTCTACCTCCTCACCCTAAAGAAACCCCTGCAAGTGCCCAAAGACTTAAAGGTGTTTGTCGGCACCAGAGGAACAAGTGTGAACCGCCCGACCACCCCCAGCAGGGGAGCTATACACTGCAGTTTAGCCTGAGCATTATTTGGCATTTAAAGTAAAGGAACCAAAGCTATATCAAATTAACAAAAAAGTATACTGAAAAAAAAGGTGCAAAAGGCCGTGTACAGTAAGATACTACGTGGGTTAATACTACTGTGTGTGACAATCCAATAGTTTACAGACACATATGGAGTAGAAAGACATCACAATGACACAAACTAGGGACAATCATCACCCCTGGGGGAAAAGTGATGGGAGGCCTGAACGTGGGGGTGACAATGAGAAGGGAAATGGTTTACTATCATCTGTAGGGTTTTATTTCTTTAAAAAGACCCAAAGTGTATAGTAATATGGCAAAATGAGATTGGTTTAATCTTGGCTGTGCCTCAACAGGTCAGGTTTTGTGGCTTTGCGTTATTTGAGCGTTTCTTAATTTAAAGCTGAGTGACCAGGCCTCCTCTCTGCCGCTGGGGCACGGACAGCCAGGGCCTGCCATCCAGAGAGAACACGCGGGGAAATTCGGACCATCAGCTGGTTGTAGTTTTTCCAAGTGGAAAAAACATCTCTCTTGACCATACTGCAGTCCCATTTACCATAATTAAAGCAATGCTTCTACCAAATGCTCTCTTCTAAAAGGGAAAGCATGCAGAGATTTAGATTTTTGTTAACTGTGACCCACCACGTATTAATGAAACCTGTATTCTTAGTATCTGCAAGTATTAACCCATATTAATGAAAGCTGCTGGCTATGTAGTGAATTAGAACCATCTTTTCCTTCCATCCTTATCACCCCAAAGTTCAGAGTATAAAAATATTGGAGGAAATGCAAAATAAAAACGGTCACATTTAACTGAGGGATTCTTCTAATCTTTCATTGTTAGGGTGACAAGACACTATATACTGAGTCAGATGTTCTACTTGAAATGATTCCAAGTGGTTCCTGTAAGGAACATTCTCTACCAGGTAAGCCTTTACCCTATATATTTTAGAATGATGTGTGAACTCTTCAAAAAGATAGGTTTGTGCTGGTGAGGGTATGTTTTTCTGTAATTTACCAACTTCCAAACAAAAAACAAAAAAAACCCCCCAGAAAACAGGGAAATGACGGTGAGACAACATACCTGGATCAGCTGCAGTGAAAGGAACACCATCAGGTGTGTAAAATGTTGGTTCATTCTAGGTTAAAACAAAGTGATAAAAGTATGTATTCATTTCAAAAATCGATTTTTTAAAAGCACATTACCAATGAAGCATGGCCAGTGTCACTCATGTGCATGTGATTGTGCAGCGCATGAAGAAGCAAAGCACAGACTTCTCCGCAGCCATTTCACGTCTTGTTCTATTATCTCAAATGCCTGTTCTAACACTGCACCGGACACATCCCACTCGCGGTGAACTGTGCTGCTATGCTGTGTGGTCCCCCATCGGCTCCCCACCCCTTTTTCCTTTGAGAATTTCCAAGACCGGGGTTGTGGGAGCGATTGCTCTATAGCTGCTTTATGTCTGTCCTGTCAGGAGCTTCAGGGCACCATTGGCCTAGTAACCATTTTTGTTTTCTTAGCTTAGTTTTTGACCACACACAAAGTAAAGTCTGACATGCAAGCCTTTGTTATGAATTCTCTGGAAAAACCATTTCCTGGAATCCCTACGTTCACCCAAGCCCAGGTCTTGTCAATTTCCCCTGCCACTGGATGGCTCTTTCTTGTCTACCTGTCCCGGGAGGATTCCATGTCTCTCCCATTCACCTGCTCTGCTTGCTGCCACATGATCGTAACACCCACGAAAAGTTATTTGGCATTGCACTTTGGGAGCAGCTTTATGTAACTCATCTAGAAATTTCCAAAACTGAATTCAAGCAATAAGCAAAATTTAACAAGTAAACACTGACATACCATAAAATAGTTAGGGTCATTTTCAGGTGTTGCTTCTCTGTATGTTGAGGTTACATGGACTCTACCCCAGTTACTTGACCGGAGTTCTACAAGCTTCAAGAGCATCTGTTTTACATCTCTGCAGACAAAGAAGTTAAAGAAGTTAAAGAAGGTGGAAAAGAAGTTAAGGGTATATGCACTGTAGGTTTTCTCAGGCTCTATAACACCAGACTCCTAAAACTGCTCCATCAGTTTACCATGGACATTCAGTGCTTTGATTTTCTAGACATTTCCTATAACAACACAAATTTACCTTTTTTTAAAATAAATAGCCTTTGGAATTTGTTGCATATAACTAACTATGTGGTTCTTAAAGGCAGTGGCCGTCTTGCAATCATTTCTGTGCTTCCTTATAATAGTACTTCACCCAAATACTTACTGAATTATTGAAGAAAAATGGCTAGGTGAGCAGAAGCCACAGGTAAAACATGCATTTAAAGAAAACGTTTCTGTAGATCAATCTGTAAAGATTTCAATTATTCTGATGAAGTGCAGCTGATTAAAAAACAACCCCAAAGAAACAGCAAGGACTGGAGCTGTCTTGGCATCTCCCTTGCCCCTCCCACCTGCTGCAGTGTGCATCTAGGACGACATTCTCAATCCTCTGAATAATTTCTTCCATATCAATCTTTCCTTTTTCCTTCCAGGCATCTTCCAAAACTGACCCTGTCAACTAAAAAAATAATGCAGGTTTCAGTAAAATGAAGAATTCAATAAAGTACAGGTATTCTAAAAATATCTTAGCAGCACTTTAAACATTCTTTAATCAAGTTAAATATTCCCAATTGTTCTCTACCATCTAATACTCAGGTATCTCAATATCATCTATGTTTTCTTGACTGAGAAACTAATGAACTACAGCAGAATTCTCACTATAGGTTTTGTGTGTCAGTGACTATATGGTATATACCCTGCATGACTAAGACAGGCTATAAAATTTTAATCAATATGTCACTTTTTGAAACATGCAGAATGTAATAAATATGGAAGTTTTGAATTAAATAAAATCTTCAGCAGGAAAAAATGACTTAAGGGATATAAACGTAACACACAAAAACTAAAAATGTGTGTAATAAACATGAAGAAATCATCAGGAAAATGCAAGTTGAAATGAGGTTTTCGTTTTCACTCATCACCTATGACAAAACCAAACCCAAGACTGACTGCAGCCACCACTGAGAAGGACATGGATGGGAAGAGGGGTATTCACTCACTCCTGGGGGGCAGACCCTCTTCGGCGGAATGTTTGGAAGGGAAATTTGGAATTACAGAAGGTCTCCAACTTACAATGTTAGACTTATAATTTTTTTTTAATAATGTTTTAACTTTGCAATGGTTCAAAAGCAAAAAGCATCCAGTGGAAATTACTCTGAATTCTGGTCTTTCCCCGGGCTGGTGAAATGTGGTACGATCCTCTCTCAGGATGCTGGGCAGTGGCCGGGAGCTACGCCTCCCAGGCAGGTTTGTATTCACGGGGGTGAGAAATGGGTCCCTCTGCGTTTTTGTGTGTTGGGTGATTCTGCCCAACGTGGCCTAATACAAGTGTTCTGAGCATGTTTAAGGTGGGGTTGGCTAAGCTCTCTGTTTAGTAGGTCAGGTGTATTAAATGCATTTTTAGCTTACAATATTTTCAGCCTCTAATGGACTTAGTGGAACGTAACCTCATCCTAAGTCAAGGAGTATTTGCACTTATCAAATCAGATTACACTCTGATCCACCAAACCTACATGCAGGAACTTAAGCCTCCTAAACCACCGCACAGAGACACGAGTACTGACAGTGCTGCAGAGAAATAACCAAACTGAAAACAACTCAGCTGCTGGACAACAGAACGCACAAACAGTGAGTGTGTAAACAACGGGGTCCTGGAACCGCTGCTGAAAGATGTAAATCTGTGCCACGCAGAGACCTAAGAGCTTCAGTAGGTGGCGAACAAGCAAGTTCCAACACAGTAATGCTGCTTGTGAGAGTATACCTACAGCACGGGAAAGGAAGAGGTAAAGTGAAGGATTTCCATTTTTCTCTTCTAAAATCTGCTTCTTACATTAAATAAATATGTACTGCTTTTCCAATATTAAATCTGAGAGGAAAGTACAATGTCAATCTTTAACTTGAAGTAATACCTTAATGTTGAATTCATGTGTGTATTATACATACTTTCTCCAAATTATATATGAAAGGAGTAGAACAGTTACACTTTAAGGAAAGAAAAGTAAAACCTACCTTCAGTAATTTTACCGCACAAATTAAGTTATCATCCAGAGGGTTAGAAAAGAGGGCATTCAGTAGCTCCCGCAGACCAACCTGAAGAATGTCTGCTCTTGTAACCTGTCCATTTGTTCCTTTGATCTTTTGGGACAAAAGGAAATAAAAAGCAACTATGCCAAAATATAATACAGATATATAAATGGTCTGACAAAGTGTTGGTATTTTATGTTAAAACAATACAGACATCATAGGAACACACACTAATATCTTCACAAAATTACTCACCTTATATATGTAACTAACATTCTAATAAGACTAATAAACCTATAGGTAAAATTTTCATTTATCACACATGACATATGGTCCAGATAATATAAGTCTCCCTGAATGCTACTGCTTCATGAAGCATCTCTAGTTTATTAAAGCCGCCACCTTTTGGGGGAACACACAATTTTACTATGCTTTTTATAACTGTTTAAAAATACTGATTTTGGATAATGGTTCACATTATCTCATCTCTCCAGCTGGAAGACTTTTAGGTTCAAGAGCCATGCCTGATCTTTCCACTGCCCACAGAGCCTCCACACCAGCCCCCGGCCCCACACACAGAGCACCAGTACTTCCAAAAAAAGAACACAACTGCATTCTTAAAATGGCTCTCCATTCAAGGCACATTTTAGATTGGTGCTCTTATCTTGCCTTGTGTAACAAACTGAAAAAGATTAAAACATGACATTTTCATGAAATTAAGCCCCGCTGTGACAAAAGGGATAGCCGATGAGGCCCTAGACTGGACGGAGACCTTCAGATGCACTGACACACACTTATGTGGACTCATGTATCTTATCAGTGGTGTTTATGGTACTAAGGCCTCGATTTAGGGTGTAAGAAGGTAAACCTGTATCTGAGACTAACTAGTCAAAAAACAAATCACATAATCATTACAAAGTAATATTCAGAACTTACGTTTTCTACTAACAATATGTCAAGTAAACCAACGATTTACAAACAAATTTAGCTGTACACTTCATACAAGTGCATTTTATATGGAAGATTAATACATAAAACAGGACCAAGAACTAATCTGGGTGAATTAGGTGAAAAAAACCAAAAACTATTAGTCTCTCTCTACCTCTTCACTCAAAGCTTTTGTTCTGTAGGTCAAGTTGCTTTTCAGCCACCACCTGAATGTCAACATGCTATGTACTGATGTTCCTGATTCAAGAATTCAAAAAAACCATGAGCGTCTACATTTCAAAAGCTTCAACATGCACAGAACACTATGGCTTTGCAGAAGTCCTTGAAGACTTTAAAACTGCTTCCCAACATCTCTCCCATGAACAGGAACAAGCATGTTCCTTTACAGCAGACTCCGCTGTGAGCGGGCTCTGAGACAGTGTTCTGTCTCTCCCGTTCTCCCTCCCCCATTCCACTCTCAATGCTGTAAAAGGATAATGCAAACAAATTCTTTACTGATATCCAACTGTTCTCAAAAGTATTAACAACAGAAAACATCTCCTCACCTCCAGATTAAGATAAAGCTCTCCCAGAAAGAGCACAAACGCATGGAATCGTTTTCGAGTTGCTTCATCCCCCTTTGCAGCTTGGTCTTTAAGTTCATATTCAGTCCGACATCTAATAAAGATAAAGCTTTTATAATCTCAAAACATTGCTTTGTTTTGTAAATAGTCAAACAAGATGACCGACCATTCGCCAGTTTGGTTGTCCACAAGCAATACAAAGACAAGTAAATGCACAAACGTCCAGACCTCCTACAACAAGAAGTGTGCCCATCTATTATAGAGATCAGACCATGCATCGCCTTTTCTAAGAGGCCTAGTTTTAAGAAACTTGTAATAGTGGAAAATAAACCTATCAGATCAAGTTGTAATAAGTTTAAACAACATAAGTTTCTTGAGGTTCATATATGCTGGCACTGGTTTTACAAAACCAAGCTATCTCTGTAAATTGGTCTACTCTTTATGAATATATTAACTTTGAAACAGATCTTCTTAAGCCCATTATCCTTGTTAATTTCCATTATATAAATCAGAGAAGAGAAATAAGGTGAAAAGCCCTCAATTGAATAGACACACAGAAAGCAATTAATTTGGCCTCTATTTCTAATAAAGACTGAAAAAGTCAAATAACATTTTCCCCCAAAGTGGCCCATTTGCCTTACATAGTAACAGAAAGAAACCATCCTATCAGAGCTTTATGGGCACAGTTCTAAGAGATTTCTGAAGTTATCACAACAAACCCTGGCCAGTGTGGTTCGGCTGGCTGGAGTGTCGACCACAGACTGACAAGGCCGTGGGTCCTGTCCCCAGTCAAGGACACGTACAAGAGGCAACTAGTCAATGTTTCTCTCTCACAGCAATGTTTCTCTCCCTCCACTCCCTTCTCTCTAAGATCATTAAGCATGTCCTCGGGTAAGGATAAAATAGGTAATAAAATAAAATCATCACAACCAGCCTATCACTGCCTGTGTCAATGAATTTGGTGTCAGCTACTGCTACTAACACTAATTTTTTTAAATGGACTTTTAAACTGTTAACCATTTTTGTGTTAAATGTTTTTTCCCCCTTATCTTCATTATTAAGGTGGTGATATGCAGGTAAGTTGTGTGTTTTATAAAACTGATCTTGACAGTTCTTTAAAGACCAAGGGAGAAGCTTATGGAGACTGGCTTTCATTCACGGAGGACCAGTTTAGGCTGCTTTGTAAAACCATTTGTCAAAAGAAAAAAAAGTCACTCTTGACCAAGAATTTTCCTTGGGTCAGTTTATGAATCAACCATAAATAAACCCAAGATAGCTTACTGTGCACCTGTAGGGCTGATTCTGATGCTTACAAGTTACATTAAACAAGTACCACCTACTGTACGAGCCAGATAAGGAAGGTGTTTGTTACCTTCTCATACACAGTAATTCCTCATCAGGAAAAAAAGCTGGCATATCTATAAATAGAACGCTGTGGTTAATTATGGAAAGGATCAGTTAATTAATGCCAATTCAGTTATCCAAGCACCTTGTGGCTGCTCTCCTTTCTCTGTCCTTTCTTTTATGACTTTGCAGGTAAAATCTTTGATGAAATGACCTTTTGTTTTAAAAATGCTACGACTATTAAGACAGGTGAGTGTATGTGCAAAAGCATATCCCTACTACTCCTGTAACATTATTGATTATCTAGGTGAGAGGAAAGAACCTAAACCTTTTTAAGCTAAGGGTTTCAATTATAAAAGCATGCTTACCTCAGAGAGGTTAAAGTGCAGGAAAAATAAAGAACACAGTCACTGTAACCCAGAGATAGCTGCTGCGAAGGTAACGTCTGTCTTTTTCAAATATGTGTGTATTTTTAAGTTAGGTAATAGATTATGCCCTGCTTTTCTCTAGTTACATGATTAGCATTTTTCCTTGTTAACATCTTTGACAGTATCAGTACTACAGGGGCACACATGGGGCAAAGAGGAAAGAACCGGAAGAGGGATCCTCAGCCAGGGCTACGCAGGAGAATCACTCCGGCAGCTTTGAAAAACCGAGTCCAGGCTCCAGCTTAGCCCCGCCCCCGAGAACATCCCCGAGTGGGGCAGGGGCTCAGCCCCGTATCACGGCACAGCCAGGGCAAGCAGCCCTGAATGAACACGCAAGCCCCCCTGCCCTCCTGCCCTCCTGCCCCCAGAAGTGCCTGCCCTCTCACATCTTCCCAGAAACTTTGTGTTTCCCTAATTATAGGGAAGGTTAGATAGCTTTTTAAACTTTGTCACATATTTTTCCAAATTGTACCTATTCAAAGCCATTCCCAATATTTCTGTTAACATACTGGTCTTTTTCTTACTCTTTCCTAAGACGCCTCTCTTTTCATATTAAATATATGAGCTCACTATCATGTGTTATATATTATTTTTCTATTTTTACTTCAGTTCAAATAAATTTATGACCTCCCCCTACGTGTAATCAAGTTTTATCTCTTGCTTTAGGGCCCGTGGCTATCATGCTGAACTTAAAACATGTACTAAGATTTTGGTTTGCCAATTTTCCTCCTACTATTTACTGTTTGTTTCACTTTTATTTAAATCTTTCATATATCTGAAATATATTTTGGTGTGAAGAGACAGGAGCCCATCTTTGCTTCCCCCGCCCCAAATGATTAGCCAGCCACAACTGTATGTGAGCAGGACAATTCATCTTGTACATGTGTGTCTGAAGTAACATCTTCATCTAAAGCTTGATTTTCAAGTGTCTCTGAAGTGCCTTCTGGAATTTTCTACTCCAGCACAGCTTAAAAAACTAATGTGCTTTTGAACAGTATGGTGATAAAACAAGTGATCAATGGAATATAATGAAAGTCCAGCATCAAAACCCAAATAGATGGATATAATGTGATAAAGGCAGCAAGTAGTTCAAATCAATAGGGAAATGGGATCATTCAAAAAAGTGGTATGGGAAAAACTGGCTGAACAGATGGCACTAAATCAATGAGATCCTTGCTCAAACCCAAAGTACAAAAGTATAAAGAAATACCTAAGTGATCATTTTTAAGCACCTGGGAAAGCAAAAGGCTTTTCTAGACACAAAACCAAAGGCAGAGACCACTACAGAAGGCTGATACACGTATGTAACTGTACACTGTAACACTGTACAGACCAGAAGGTCTGCTGTCTCTTCCCCCGCAACTTTCCATACTGTAGTCTTTGGGAAAAGGGAATAGTCAAATTCTAGTACCTTCCAAAGCAGTTTTCCTTTAACTTCATATATTTACACTGACCTTCGAAGCAGCAATTGGCGGAAGTTGCCACTCTGTGAGCTAATTGTCAGGTGATGGGACAGGTAATTGCAGAGGCGAGCTCCCATGTAGGAGAAATTTGGAATAGACGTAGCCTTTCAAAAAGAAAAGTTTTGTGTGATACAGATGCACTGTCATAAATCCCAACAGCCAACATTCCAGAGAGGAGGAAAACATTTCTACTCCCCCAGCCTTACACTAAGAACAGAACAAGTACAAAGAAAAACGTTTAAGCTAAGTTCTCCCCATCATTTACCTGAGGTCAGCAGAAAGAAAACAGACAATCTCGCTTTATACTAACCCATTTTTGCACAAAATAGGTACATACACCCCGCTGCAGAGTGCCAATTATGAATCAGAGTATCTGCCAAACTATCGATCTGTGATGTTTCTCAATAACAGCAGGCACCGACTCTGGCATCTGCTTATCCAGAACGAGATTCCCAGGCCTTGCGCTTTGCGACTGGACTTCACTAAACCTCCCTGGGCTTCAGTTTCTTGATTCCTAAAGAGGTGACTAATGGTACCCGGTGCGAGAGAGTAATGTTTAAAGAACGCTCCAGAAACGCTTGGGGTAAAGAGAAAATTAAAACAGATAAGCCATTTTAAAAAATAAGTGTGAAAACACTACATATCAAAAACTATGATACAGCCAAAGTCGTGCTCAAGAAGTTTAACTTCCATTGCAGTTTTTAAATAGCAGAGAAAAGAATTCGCTACTAAATGTTAGGTAAGAACAATGCACACTTAGAAATTAAGGGACTTGGCCAAGGTCACAAAGGTAGTTACCCAGTGTCTAAAACAAATGGCCTGATGCCCTTCTGACCCTATGTGGGTCTATTCACTAGCTGTGGAACCTGAGAAAAGACCTTTAACTTCAGTGTTAAGACTTGTATAAAATGGGCATAAGAGTAATATCGCACAACCACTGTGGAGTAAAAGAGTTAACTACGTGTCGAGTGTTCAGCATCACTGGTATGTGTAAGTGCTTTAAAAATTAGATATTTTCATTTCTAATTATTGCCTTGCTCACCCAGGATCCCAAACGTGTCTCAAGAAAGAAAGACTGGCTTCTCCTGGCATCATGAGTAGGTATCTGATACCACAAAGACTCGAAATTAAAAATACTCTTCTCATTATTGGCACTGCCTGATTTTAGTTTAAAAATTGTCACACACAATTTAAAGTCAAGAAGTTCTACAAGGTTGGTTTTTGAAAAGAACTGAAAGTGTCCTAACGACAACCACTTTCAATTCTTGCAGGTCAGAGGTTTTAACCCCTGTACCTGCGTGAGCTGTGATCTCTCCGTTGTGACCTTACTTCTTTCTAGTTTCCCACCATGGAGGGTGAGCATTTAGCTCTCACTCCACTTAACCCCAATGCCGTTCCCACCACTTTCCAATCCTTCCACCTACCAACATGGTAATACCATGATTTTACTTATTAGGTTTGTGTTTCCATTTACAGCTTTCGTGTACAACTTTGTTTTCCCTTGACACTCAATATTTTCTAGTACTTTGATTTTTATACAATTCTCACTGATTTATTCTTTAACTCACTAGTCTGTAAACTTCTTTGCCCCGTGCTCACCTTACCAGGGACTCTTCCGGGAGCCTCTGCTCCATTTCACTGAGGCCGGACCCCCAGGCAGCCGGGCTCATGGCCACTGTCTTGGGACTGCCTGTCGCCCTTGCCTGGTTGACACACACTTCCACAGAACTCCCCGTTTCCTAGTCCCCATGTCTTCGTCCTTGGCTTACGTCCTTTGTTCTGCTCAAGTGCCGTCTTCGTAACTTCTCAAGAACAGTAACCATAAAACTTCAAACTAGCTACTCAGTGCAAAAATATCTAGAGGGTCTAATTTTTTTTTTTTTAGATTTTCTAGCAATCTTTTTGCTTCATTCCTTATTCTAGAGTCTTTTCAAAATTTTGCATCTTAAATCAGGGAGATTCTCAGCTACTCTCCCCGGTTTGAAATTCAACTTATTTAGATCTGTCAAGTCAATTACGACTCACGCCTTCTGCTTTCCAATCTCCAAACTGGGATTTCTAACTCCTTCCCCCACCTCAGTCCTCATGGGCTTCTGTCCTTCAAAAATCCCGTATTGCCATGGTAGTGGTATTTGGGGAGAAATCAAAGTTGAATATGGATATTTAATGTCATTTTCTTTTCTTACAACAGGTCTTCCTTTGTCAGCTGCAATGAATAAATTCTCTCAATAAAATTTAAGAACTGTTGGCCAATCTGTGCATCACTGACCACAGAAAGTGAAAACTTTGAGTACATATGTGAAGAACTGGCTTTGAGACAAGCACAGAAACAGCAGTTTGTCAGTTCACAGCTCTTCCACATGGCCCTGAAGAACTATGATCAGGCGGCCCACTGAAGAGCTGAAACTCAACAGAAGAGAAACCATGCAAAGTTTAAGAAGTATAATTCTTCCATTTTCTTACCTCACATTCTTTTTAATCCAGTTAGAGGCCAAAAGTAGGCATCAGGACAAACAGAGCGGTTCTATGTTCCTAAAATCCCAGGCATTTCTGCAACCTGAAGAGTTGGCTAGGACGATTTTCAACCCACATGCCACGAGAAATTTTAAAACACGCAATACCTGACTATTTAGTCAGGGACACTGACCTCTTTTGCCTTAGATTGTCAAATTAAAAAAACAACAACAGCCAACATAACAACAGCCATCTGGCGCTCACCTGACCAGGGAATCTTCCTAGAGCACTGAATGAATAAAAATTATACCTATTTTTTTCTTGTCACATTGGTAAAACATATTTTTTGGTGTGCCGCAGAATTTTAGTAATTAATTTATACGTGCCATGAGATGAAAAAGGTTGAAAATTGCTGGGCTACAAGATACTGGGGGTCCAGTAACCACCCAGAGCAAACTGGAAATGTAGCCGAATGAGATACTAGGTGGCGAGGAAATAAATAAACCAACCAGCCTGCTTGCTATCATAATTGCCCATATATTCCAAGTTTGAGTTGCTCATTTGAACACTAAAGGCTCTATTGATGTTCATTTCCTACTCTGTTTTTGGTCAATCTCACGTGACTTTAAATGTCTTAAAAAATCCAGGGCTGTCTATTTTCCCCTCTCAAAATAGCCTTAACATGTCAGTGACACTATGCTAGGATCAAAACTAAACTGCATGAAAAAACAATCTATACATTAGACTTTCAAGGAATTAAGATGTAAATTGTTGAAAATTTTATATTAAGCAGAAATGTTAATACAAGACAGGGTGCTTTGTGATTTGGATTTTTTTTTTTTAAAAGAACTCATTTATAATGCAAGAACATTCTCCCATCTTTTTTCTCCCCTACTTGAAAAATGGTATTGTATTCAACATCTTGGAGAAAATATTGCAGTCTTTTTAATGTATTGTTAATTTCAGGTCCCATAAAACAGAAAGGGGTGGGAAGAGGTACGATGCTTATGGAGGCTTCCTCACGAGTGCTCCAGGCTCCTCCCAACTGCATGTTCCGGGCCTCAGCCACGCGGGTGAGTGTGTTTGCCGTATGGCTCCAGCCCTGGATCCCTACTGAAAGGAATTTTGTACAACAGAGACTTAAAAGCTCCCATGAACCATCAAGAGTTAACGAGTGCGCAGGTGGGTGAACATGACCCTGTCCTCCCTCAAGGGGCAGCCGTCATTCTTGGGCTTCGAGGAAGCTTCCTGATGACCATCGCGCGCTACGTGCTATCGGCAAACCTACCTGTTGGTAGATTAGTTCCACAAGTTCTTGCAAAGCATCGTCCGTTGTAACCCAGCTATTGAGGGTCTCTGCAAACTGTTCAATGTCAGTTTCAAAACTGCCAGGCTGCTCTGTGAGATGATTCAAAAAATCCTGAACATACTCTGATAGAGTGGGATAATCCTCACAGCCGTCCTCATAGGATTCCTACAGGTACAAAGGTAAAAAAGTAAACGTTTTAATCCACGCAACGGGCTAAAATGAACAGAAAGCAGCTTTAAGTTGAGATGTCTCTAGCAGAAATGAATATTTTTTAACTGATTTGAAGGAGGGAAGAGAGAGATCAATTCTATTGTTCAACTCATTTATGCACTCATCGGTTGATTCCTGTATGTGCCCTGAGCAGGCGTCAAACTCACAACCTTGGCATAGTGGGACAACATTCTAGTAAGCCGAGCCACCAGGCCAGGGCCCACAAATAATTTTTAAAGGATCTTTCATGTGATAAAATGTGTTATTTTCTTCAATAAAATTAAGTCCAGTGAGCTATCCTCCTTCCTTGTCCAATGGCCAATGTGTCACAACAGAGGGGGAAGTTCCCTCTAGCTGGGTAGGGAATTGTCTTCTCATCCCTGGCGGATAGACAAGATGGCTGAGAAATCAAGTTGAAGCCAATGTTTTGCTATAATACCAATATCAAAATAAAGATTTTAATCTTTGATGGATATGATAAGACCTAGGATTTGCAACAGGAGGGGAGGAGGGGCCAGGGACAGAGAACTGAGAGTGGCCGCATGCAGCTAACTGACGCGGCCATGAGGGTTCACTGTGCCGTTCCCCACATGGTGGGCGGTGTCTGACAATCCCAGCTGGTAAAGGCTAGTGAGTGTCTCATCTGGGTATTAACCCCCAAGGACAGGGACATATATACGTAAGTAACTATGAAGTTTCACCAGAGTGGACAGTGGGAGAAGACGTTTTGGCCGCCACAGCCAGGTTTCAAGCCGACCTTGAGAGTAGCAGTTTCCAACTAATCTCTACCACTATCACCTTCGGAAGTTCTCAACCTTTAATTAATGGCAAGAGGCCGAGCAGGTGAGTATTGCAAAAGGTAACTGGTCAGAACATCAGCTTTCACTCGCGAATGTCTGGATACCACCCAATGAACTCTGAATTTTACCTACCAGTTATGCTCTAACAACAGCAGCCATGTTGCCTGACGAAATTTACCCCTTTCCAAAAGGAGTGAAATGAGAAACCAATATGAGAGAATTAGAATTATGACTACAGAAAGGGTTAAGTTCTAAGTCAGTGAGTGTACAAAGAAAACAAAGAAATCACACCTTTTTTTCAAAATCCCCCTTACAAAAAGAAAGCTCCTTTCTGGAGGTGGACAATCTTGGTGGAAAGACTGACCTAAACTGTTCCCCTTTGTTGATGCTAACCACTATGTCCTCAGCTGACTGCTGCTCAGAGGGCATTTTGGGTCATTTTTATTTATCTCGACACTAAAGTGGCACTTAACATGACACGAGGCGCTCAGGACGTGATTCCTTTGCCTAAGTCATGCTCACACAGTGTCCACTGAGAAGAGCAGGTAAACTCATAGATTGAATGTTCGTCTGATCACACACACAACTCAATCCAGATTAAATGAGCCATTAAATTAGTGTTGATGCAATTCAAATTCATGAATCACAAACAGATGTATGACTGAGGATTACCAGTAAATGAGTTAATGAGTTCACTGAATTAATAAGTAATTTCCCTGGACCAGTGACTAGCACAAAGTAAGGCACTAACTGTTCAACAAGTGTATTTTTTAATTTCTAGTTAAAGACTGAAACATATTCCAAATGGGACTGCCATGCTGTCATGCCTAAAAGCACTAAAGTATAAAATGTAGAATGATAAGAAAATATACTTCTTGGTACCTGGGATGATACCCTGATTAATTCATTAAGAGCACCAGTTGCGCGTATGTTACTCATTCATAACCATTTGGGTGTGGACCACGCTAAGTGCGGAGAGTACCGTCAGGCCACGAATGAAGGAGACAGAGCCCCCCTCCATGGACCTGGTAGTCTGTGACAGAGGGCGTTACTCAGATATCGAGATACACGATGAAAAGAACGGTCAGGGAACAGTCCCTAAGAGGTAACACGTAAACTGAAACAGAAAGAGGCTGTAAGGAGACAGGTACTTGCCTGACACCTTCGAGAAGGGCCAGAGCACAGAAACCGAGGACGGAGTGGTCGCTAATGACCAACAAGAAGGACAGGGAGGTTGCGGAGGGTGACGGGGACGCAGTAAGGAGTCTGCCACGAAAGCCAGTGGGAAAACCTGGGGTGGGGGCTGTTAGGGTAGGTTCGGCAAAGAAGGACCATGTAATTTAGGCACAGTTACAGAGCTAGAACCGAGCACAGGGCAGCGCCTTTTATTTTCTATGCTGTGCTACAAATAACCAACAAAGCTTAAAAGCCAACTTCAACGTAAGTACAAAGGTACTCAGCACCGAAAATTCACCTAACAATCCATCAGCAAGGAACTGGTTAAACATGCTACCTTATAACTATACATATGGAATATTACATAGCCACTGAAGGAAACAAGATTTACATGTATCAATACAGAAATAGCACCACTATAGTGTTAAATGAAAGAATACAGAACTATATTGTAGTACAAAATTTAGTACAATTTTCTTAAAAGAGGCTTACAGGAAATGAAAACCATTTATCTTCTGGAAAGATAAACAAGGAATAATAGTAGTGACCTATGGAGAAATGTCTGTGTTATAAATATGATCCTTTATTATAAAATTGTGAAAGTAGTTATACATTATAAATGCAAATATTAAATAGTAAACTTAAAGTTAACCACACACATGTGGTAATTTTACAATTAAAAACCAAGTTAAGCTGTTGATATACAGCTTAATGTTTTACAGATCTGTAGTATCCTACTACTACTGATAATGAAAAGCAGGAAGTCTCCCGGTCCCAGCTGAGGGTATTAATTTCCTAATGGTTTCTATCAAATGTCATTCATTGTGGTAAAATATACGAGTAGTTTAGATCACTGATTTTAGTCTGTTTTTTTAAATAGGCAAAACTCTCTTTTAAGAAGATCTGAGCCCTGGTCAGTTGACTGGAGCCTTGTCCCCCCCAGACGGAAGGATCGCAGGTTTCGTTCCCGGTCAGGGCGCGGATGAGCAGGCAGCCGATCCACGCTTCTGTTTCTTTCTCCTCCCTCCTTCTCTTTTACTCCACCTGTTCCCTGCCCCCCCCTCCGCCAAACACAATGAAAAAATGTCCTTGGGTGAGAATTAAAAAAAAAAAGAATTCTGAAGGTGAAAGTAGAGTTTCTCTGAATGTGGCAGAATGGGAGTCAGAGCCTACTGTTTTGAGCTAAAGGAGGCAGGTAGTCTGACGAACAAGACTCCAGCATGTGTGAATCAGAGCTGACGTTAGTTCTCTGGTACCAGATTTAAGTCGGATTTCTTCGGTCTTCCATGTGGACCTAAATGGCTTCCAAGAAGAAAAACTGGGCAGTAACTTGAAAGTGCATGTTCTTAGAAAAAAGCTGGGATTTTCCGGGGGGGGGGGGGGGGGATTTTTTTCTCATAGTAAGTTCTTTATACAGAAGATAAATTCTTTTTTATATTTGAGTTTGGATGTGTGATCCTTATCAAGAGGTCAAAACAAAGGGAAACACAAGCATGGAGTTCAGAGGAGGAATTAGGTTTCAGAGTTATCAGCAGACAGGTAGGCCATGGTCAGAGGAGGTAATAAAATGGAAAAAAGACCCGCCGAGACTGCGGAAGGGATGAGCTGCGAGGTGGGAGGATGGAGAAAGAACACTGGCCCAGAAGCCAAAGGACAAGGTCAACGAGAGAGGCTCAAAGTAATTTCACAGGTTGAAATCTGAGAGAATGATGACTACATTCTTGGGAGTGAAGGAGGCTATGCACAGAGGGGGAAAATGAAAATAAAAATTATTACCTTAAATATTCAGTTCTTACAAAAATAAGAGGAACCTTTGAAAGGTTGAAAATGTGCCCATGGCACCTAGCACAGGACCTGGCACGCTGTGACTTGTTGAAACTTACAGATCGCCCTGTGGTCAACAAAGCCTAGGACGAGGGTTAAGAAGGCCACAGATGTTAAATCCAAGAGCATCAGTAACTGTCCCCAGACAGTATCAGCACGATTAGGGGGATCAGTCTGCAGAGGTCTGAACAGTGAGCGGGACATGGCACCAACAGCGAGTAACTTTACACTCTGGAGAATGTCACTACTGAGAGGCTGAAGAAAAGCTGGGTAGCAACTTGAACGTGAATGACCTTAGGAAAAAGCTGGGATTTGTGTGTGTGCTGAGGCAGGGGGCTTTTGTTTTGTAATAAATTCTTCATGAATTCCTATGTGGAATTTTTGGTTCTCGTAAATGAACCATGATTAACTATTCAAGATGTAACCACTGTGCTGAGCCAGCAGCAATGGCCAGGAAGAGAAGGATCAGAAACTCACTGGAAAGGAGGCGGAGAGAGCAGGAAATCCTAGCAGTGAGATCAGGAGGGCTGAAGGCAAAAGGGCCTAGAGTTTTGGGAGGGTTAAGCAAGCACAGCAAGACCGTATCATACTGGCTTTTAGAAAATGCATACTTTCTTGAAAGCAGATTCGGCTCAAGGACACCAAGCAACAGATGTTTGCGTCTAATGAAAGCAGACTCAAGGAGTTTCTGGAGACCAAGCCTGGCAACCACGAGAACAGAGGTTCCACAGAGGTAGGAATTTTTGTCCCTTTTGTTCATTGCTGTATCCCTAGTGCTTGACTCAGGATACGTATTCAACTATTTGTTGAATGAGTGAATACAACTAGCTTCGGATTATGGTTACTGTAAGGAAAAGTTTCCCTCCCAACAAGACTTTATCCTAAGAGTTAGGGGACTAAAGGGACTGTAAAATACTCTTCGCCTTGACAGATGCCTAAAGGGTAAAGGCTAGATACCAGAGCGGGGCAGCAAACTTGAGTGCTGACAGAATCCAGATGCAGTGCACAGAGATGAAGTAAGCCAGTGAGCAAATGAGAGCTAACACGCTCCATCTAAAGGGGCTACCTCTATACAGCCAATTTTTACCAAAATAATAGTCCAGTATGACCGGATCTTATGATTTCAAAGAGAAACCAGAAAATAATTCAGATTGGCACTATGTAATTTAAGTGTTGGTAACTTAGTAAAAATCTTTTTTTAAATACAAGATTTTATTTATTTTCTCAGAGAGGGGTAGGGAGGGAGAGAAAAATCAACATGCAAGAGAAACATCTATTGGTTGCCTCTCACATGCCTCCAACCAGGGACTGCGCAACTTAGGCCTAATCCATGTCTAGGAATGAACTGGTGACCTTTTAGTTTGCAGGCTGGTGCTCATTCCACTGAGCCACACCAGCCAGGGCTAAAAATCCTTTAAAAAAAAATAAAAAACAGGACGGAAGGCAGCCCACCTGCAGGCCACACGTGAGCCGCAGGCTGCCAGCTTGCAATCCATTCTGGAGACCTGGGCTGAGAAGCCATCTTAGAGGTTATCGAGGAATGCCTACAAGATGACAGTGGCTCGAAGCAAGTGGCCTAATGAACGTAGCTCCGTGCGCTGCTCCACAGCCAGCCCAGGAGTCACGGGAACTATGTGAAACTAGCTGGTACAGAACTGTGAAAAAACTGCATCCCTCCTCTCAGGAAATAGCTCAGTCAACAGCGAGTCAAACAGATGGGAACTCTGTGCAGTTAGAAGGTAAGTTCCCTACTTCTATTCAACGTACAGCTCTCCAATGGTTCCTTCTGCCTCTGGGCCAAATACAATCTTCTGGCAAGAACTCAAGCTGCTCTTACTTCTACTTTACAGGACTCATGGCGCCTTTCAACTCAAATAAACAGCTCTGTCCACTATGCCTACACTTTCCCCTTTCCAGCCCCAACACTTTTTCCTAACGCGTGGAGTTCCTAAAGTATGCAACACAGCTTTTCCATACTTCCTATCAAATACGGAAGCAAAAAAAAAAAAAACAAAAAAACCAAACAAAAAAAACAAAAAAAAAGTAACAAAAAAGATGTGCCACCATTAGTTATTAGGTATATACAAATTAAAATCACAACTAGATGCCACACACACACTGAAATGGCTCAACTTAAAAAACAGAAAATACTAAGTGTGGCCAAGCAGAGCACCTGGAAATCACTCTCCAAGCGTCCGCTGGCGCCATCTCAGGAAACCCAGCAGGCAGCCTCTGCCAGGGCCGGCTCCCCTAGGTCCCAGCAGTTCCATGCCTTGGTATGTACCAAACTGAAGCAAGGGTATAGAGCCTCCCCGAGAGGGCCATGGAGAGCAGCCCTATTCTTAACAGCCCCAAAGTGGAAGCTCCCCACCAGTGCCCAACAGACAACTGGTGATGTGGCAAGTCCCTCAGTGGAGTAAGTCACCTGAAATTTCATGCCACAGCATGGATGACTTCTGGTGTTGAATGGAAGTAAGAAACTAATTTAATATTAGGAGACAGAGGGGGCGTTGGGGATGTCGGTAACGTTCCTTTTCTTGATTTGGATGTGGGGTACCTGAGGGTTCCCTTTGCAGAGCTTTGACCTAGCCTTTCTGTGTATATCCTATGTGTTATATGTCAATAAAGCTAAGAATACAGGAAAGGTAGAACTGATGGTAAACTACTATCAATTATTTCTTCAATCTAGAATGGTTCCTGCCCCACCTATCTACAATTAATTGCTATGCATTTACTTAGCACAACAAATTCCGTTCTATCTGCTCCAATTGTGCTGTTTTGTCCTGGTATTTAAGAAAAATATGACCTATTTTAAAAATTCCAATGTTACTGACAAAAATCAATCTGAAAGCTTCAAGAGTTCTTTATACATACCTAAACACTTTATCAAAAACCCCTACATTTCTGCATAAGTTAATTAGAATGAGAAACACTTCTATTTTAACTTCAGAGCCCAGATGTGCACATCTCAACACTCAAGAACCTACACAAATCAGTCTACCTTAAAACCACTTTGACTTACCTTACCTAAATCTACCAGTGAAAATTCTGCTATCTTGCTAAATTCAAATTAAAAATCAGCTTTGTCAGGCCCCTGGTCTTTAGGTTGTCCACAAAGTCTGGACAAAAACCTTGTTTTATAGATTGAAGGTGGGAGGGGTCTTTGCCTACATCAAGTTTAAACGCCTGGAGATTTCGCACAGGTGTTGAGAACAAAACAGGTAAGAATGACTACTCTCAAGCTTACACCGATACTCTGAATATAACTACAAAATATATTCCTGAATCAGTTTTGTTTCCTCGAGTTCAATGAATTCATGTTTATATGTGTAGTACAGAAAATACAAGCATGCTGATTAATAAACTGATAACCATATTACCCAGTCATATTAGCCCAGAGTTGTAATAAAGGGTGTACTTACTGTATAATTAGAATAACCCGAAGGATAAAATTCAGGGGCGTTCGCAGACAGCTTGGACATTAATACAGGAGCCACCACCACCTGGGGTTTAGCCATCGCTGACTCCGAGTTCTGCTGGGAGATGCTGTCCTGGGGTCTCTCTTGTTCTGAGGAAGGAAAAAAGAAAAAGCAGGTATTAGAAGCACTCATACCTTTGTTTAATAACTTACTATGCGGCGAAAAGCCATCTGAGGAGGACTAATTCTTAAGGACTGATTCTTGTAAACTACAAAAGAGCCAGGATAGGTGCAGAGAGCCTGCAAAAAAGAACAATAGACTAGCCCTCGCTCATTTAGGGACACACTCGCTTCCTCCACGAATGCTTGAGGGCTGGTCTCTTTCTAAAGGAGTCGGTGAGAAAAAGGTGGTTGCTCACCCAAGATGTCCCCTCGGAGGACTGGGGAAGGGGCGGCGATTTGTTACTTCCTCCCGGGACCGCCGCACTGGGAGCCCGCGCGCGGCCCCTCCCCCGCGGGGCGCACAAAGGACTCCCGCAGCCACCTTCCGGACCCGCGCGGGCCGTCCCCACCAGAAACCCCGGGCCCTCGGGGCTGCTTTCAGGGCGGGGCAAGAGGACACAGCGCGCGCGGGAGCCCCGGAGGACCGGGGGCCCCTGGGAGGCGCGGCTCCGTACCTGGGAGCGGCGCGGGCCGCGGCGGCCGCGGGGGGCCGGCGGGGAGCTCGCACTGGGCCCCTGGCGGCGGGGCCGTCCTGGGCTGGCGCAGCGGCGGCGGCTGCAAGAAGCCCGGGGCTTTGGGCTGCGGCGGCGGGTGCCCCGTCCGCTCCGCAGGCCCCGCTCCGTTCGGGAAACCGCCGCCCTCAGGCCCGCCCCCTCCGCGGCCCAGGCCCCGGCCGCGGCCCCGACCAGCACCTGGGGCCCGATCGAAACCGTCCGACATGCTCCGCCTGCTTCTCCGGAGCCGCGGCGCCGCGCTGCTCTGCGCTGGGCGGGGGGGAGGACGCGGGGTGGCGCCACGGGCCGCGCGCTCACTCGGGCCTCATGGAACGGGAGGCGGCCGGCCCTGCTCGGTCCTCAGCGCCGCGGGAAAAGCGGACGGCAGCTGCAGCACCCGCCGCCGGAGCGCCCGCCTTCACCGCTCCCAGCCGCTCGCCGACTCGCCCCTAAAGCCCGCTCCCCCGCCTCCGGAGCTGCGGGGCCCCGGCGGGTCACAGCGGCCCCCCGCGGCCCGGAGGCCCCCGGCGCGTCCGCTGCGGCCACTCCGCTCGCGACGGGCTAGTAGCCGCGGCCCAGCAGGACCCGCGGCGGGCGGCGCCTCGGACCCGTCCTACCCGCCGCGGGGGCCGGGGGGGCGCCTCGCCGCTCCCCGGGGTCGGGCTCGGGGACAGGGACGCTTACCCCAGGCGGGCCCGCCCTATGCCGTGGTCCTCGGAAGGGAAGCGCGAGGCTGACGGTTGATGCCGGGAAAATAAAAACGCGGGGGGGAGGGGCGGGGGGCTGGCGCCCGCTCGCGGACGCGCACCTCGGTGGGCGCGCAGGTGTGTGGCTCACGGGTGGGCTGCTCCCAGCGGCCCGCAGCCCCGCCTGGGGGAACCGCCCGCGAAGGAAGCTCCGCCACCTGCTTAGTTCGCGGTGGGGGCGGGAGCTGAAAGAGCCCAAATATGCCCGCCCCCCCGCCACCGCCTTTTCAACTCACTGCAGCCATTTAACTCTAGATCAAACCTATTGGAACCAGGCTTCAGCCTCTTTCTTTTTATCTTCCCTTCCGGAAATTTTAAGGAAATACACTACTTTTGGGTGAAACTCCCCTCTGTTTCATCATCCACCAGAATTGTACAATAAACAGTGTGAGCCACAAATGCAAGCCACTTATATAATTAAACGTTTTCTAGAAGCCACATTAAATGAGTAAAAAAGAACAGGTGAAATGAGTTTTTAATAATGTATTTTTTACTTAACCACTATATCCAAAATGGTATCATTTAAACATGTAATTAATACAAAATATTAATAAGATTTTCTGTACATTAATCAAAATCCAATGTGTGTTCTTACACTTTCTGCATCTCAGTTGTGATTAGGCACATTTTAAATGATAGCCACAGGTGGCTAATGACCACGGTGTTGCACAACACATTTCTACAGACTTTATATGTAAATTACTTTTTTTTTGTCAGGCCCGACTGTTAAAGCCAAATGAAGGATGAATATAAGAAATGCAAAGGAGAAAAAATATATATTTATTTACTGTTAGGTTGAAACATCTCCACGAATTGATTGTAGCCCTGTATTTTAAGCAGGGCTTAATGTTTTTCAGTCTTGCCATCTTGAGAAGCATTTCAATTAACAAAAACTCATCTCAACCTTTCCACCTTGCTAATAAAACCAACACAGGTAGCTTTTATACCTAAATGAATGAGAAAAAAATGGCTTTAATGAAGGCAGTCATGACTCATTCTGTTGAAGGCTGGCAAAACTACGAAGACAGGGGAGAAAGCTAGTCAAAAGGGTGGTTCTTTGGTGTTGGGAAAGAATGTAGGATTTAAAGGATGACAGCTTTGTTTGGATCCTGACCTTGACTCTTAATGCCTGTGTGATCTGGAGTGAGGGATTTAACTTCTCTAAGCCTCAGGTTCCTCATCTATAAAATAAGGATGCTGTAGCATTAAGCATATGTTAAAGACAAGATTACAATGTGAAAATTAGATGAGTTAATGCTCATAACATTAAAACCCATTTATGCAGTCGGCAGTCACTTCTGCCCTGGGCTTTCTGTTATATAGGAAAGACAAACAGTATAGTCACGCAGGAAGAGAAAACCTTTCCCTTCTCCCCTTCTAGGTTGTTGGGCTGGTCTAATAACTAAATTGACTAAGATCAGCAAGAGAAAAGCAAATTTAATTTTGTATGTACAGGAACCCATAAAAATAGGAAACTTCCTGGAAGTGACTAACACAGGCAGCTTTTATACCTGTTAGACAAGGAGACAATAAGCTTGTGAAAAATTGGCAAAACAAAGAGGTTTGGGCTTGAGACAGCAAATTAGTGAGGAAGTAATGCAGGGGTGTCCAACCTGTGGCCCAGGATGGCTATGAATGCAGCCCAACACAAAATCGTAAATTTACTGAAAACCTTTTTTTTTTTTTTGGCTTATCAGTTTTCATTAGTGTTTATGTACTTAACATGTGGCCCGAGAAAACTTTTATTCTAGTGTGGCCCAGAGACGCCAAAATGTTGGACACTAAAGCTTGCTTCCACAGCCTCCTCAGTGCTGAATTCCCTTTCTCTGGCGGGAAGGATGCCTGCCACCCTTTGGTCCAGGGAGGGTGGCTTCCCAGGGGAGATTCATTTTTTTATTTCAGGGGACAAAGGAGGGTCAGCACGTCCTTCTTGCACTGGCTGTTTCTTAAGTAACTTTCATCTAAAATAATATGTCAAAGTGGCACATTCCTGTCTTCTTCACTTGGAAGCAGCGCAAACAGTTACCCTGTACGCTCCGCCGAAGGGGATGCCCCCAAGGCCTTGCCATCTGAGGCTTCCGTTTGCGCTCAGCACCCTTTCCGTCCCCTTAGTACTTTTATGATAGCACCTTTTGTACCTGTGCAGATTTTCTTACCTGCATCTCTACAGCCTCATTTCATTAGGTAAGTTAGGTAATTACGGTGTTATCTTTTGCCTTTTCCCTATTTGCTTGGGTGTAACGGTAGCCCCACTCTCACGTAGTGAAGGGTGGATCTGAGGATAATGGGTATGGAATTAGCTTTGTGATGATAACAACAGCTAACATTTATGAGTGTTTATTAAGCGCTACTGCTCCAAGAGCTTTACTTTTATCACTTTATTTAATCCTCACATCCTATGAGATAGTAGACATTCCAGTCATTCTCATTTTACAAGAAAGGTGCCACAATATTATGAGGGCTCACATTCATCTGGGTACAGCTTTCGGGCTAACTGCCAGGTGCCAGGTGTTGCAAAATGCTAGGAGGCCACACTCGCGCATGTGCACACACAAAAATGAATGCATATTAAACTAAGGTGGGTGGATTGCCTATTGTCAGATTTCTGAATGTGTATTATATGGTGGGGGGGGACCCAAGAAGCCTCAGAATTTGTTTATAAAAAATTGTGTATTTATTCTTACAGGTTGAAACTTCAGTCTCCTTCAAAGTACTCTCCATTTGATGCAATACACCTATTGCCCTAAACAGTTTTTGAACGTGTTGATTTTGATGCCTTTTGGTGCTTCCGCCATTTTTTTGTTTCACCTCTTCCACATCAGCAAAATGTTTCTCTTTGAGGACTTTTTTCTTCCAGGAGAACAAACAAAAAAGTCACTCAGGGGATGAGGTCAGGTGAATAGGGAGGGCGGGGCCTGGGGGTCATGCCATCATGCCGGTTTTTTGGTCAAAAACCGCTGAACACTCAGCGCAGTGTGGGAAGGTGTGCTCCTAAATCACCCACCATGATGAAATGGGCAAATGCATTGACAGAGTCTTCAAAAAAACAAACAAACAAACAAAAAAAATCACTGAAGCTGAGCGCAGCCTCTCACAACAACGCCAGTTGGTGCACTGATACAGATGAGTGCCTAGAACACTCACCCAGCGGGGGAACCTGTACTACTTGAGGCCCGCCCTCCAGAAAATAATTCCAGTTTTGGGGGGCCTCCTTCATAGTTATGCAAGATGTTACTTCTGAGGAAAACTGGATAGAGAGTAAATGAGATCTCTATATTATTTCTTACAACTGCAGGCATACCTACAATTATCTCTAAATAAAAAGTTTTAAAAATCAAACACATATATATAAACCTATTCCATCACTCCCCACTCTTTCCCAGATTGTTCAGTTCACTGCTCTCTGCCCAAACCATCATAACAACTTACATGTCAATATAGGTTAGTGGTAGCATCATTCAGAGAGAAGAGAATTAGCCGATGTGTTTGTTCTCCTGGGTCTCGTTTGTGTAAATTATCTTCCTCTTTTAGTCTCTTGGGTACGCGGTGAAATGAAGTCCCAGCCAGTCAACACTCGACTCCCATCTGGATTAGGCTTCCAGTACATCCCTGAGTCCAAGAGAGCCAGGAACGCTGCTTGGGATCTCATCTTGTGCACTTCCTTGTTTAGTGTCGATCTTTTAGCTGAACTGTAAACTCGGTGAGGATCGCAATTGGTTCACTCACTCTTCCATTCGCTCAGTCAGTATTTACTGCATGCCTACTCTTGAGCCAGACACTGTTCTAAGTGCTGAGGACATGCAGGGTGTGCGATTAGTAGGTGGGAGGCAGACAAGGCTGGAAACAGAAAGTACCTGTGCGGTGGCTGTGGCTGAAATTCTGGAGAGAAACAATGACAGCTCCCAAGGCAGTGGAGTGAGGCCGGGGAGAAGGACCAAATTAGAGGTGATTATGGACAGGCTGGCAGATGTGTATGAGGCTTAGTGAGGAGCCGGAGATCAGGGGGGCTCCCAGGATTCTGGCTTTGGTGCCTCAGTCCCTGGGAGCAGGAATACCGAAGAGACCGGACCGTCACTAAAGAGGGGATGCTCACTAATTCCATGTGCGGCATTTCATTTGGCACCTGGGGCGTGCAAGTGGAATTGCTCAGCGGACAGGTAAGTTACAGAGTGGGCGTTCAGAGGAACGTCGCCTAGAGTTAGAGATTCGAAGGCTGAAGCCATGGGAAGAAGTGAGATGACCTAGGAAAAGTATGTGAAGGCAAAAGCACGAAGAGAAGCGCAATTTCACAGCTGGGTTGAAAAAGAGGAAACTGTTCATGCTTATTTGCATAGGACTGAAACTGAGAGAAGCCAGCGGGCAATAGGAGGTTAAGGAGGGAGAGGCCAGGAGCACCCAGTGTTGCAGCAATCGCAAATACACAGAGGGTTCTGGAGGATCCGTAAGAGCACCCCGTTTCCTGGGTTCCGCCCTCTGGTCGCCTCGCGGCTGGGTCCTGCCTGAAAGCATGACCCCGAGGAACCAAGTCCCCTTCACCACCACACAATCTTCTGATTGTAACTTGACCATCTGTTAAATTTGCACTTTGAGAGGAGCAATGACAAAAGTGATAGCTAATATTTAGCACTTACTATGTTTCAAGTAAACGTTTTACATGGATTACCTAATTATCTCATCTAATCTTCAAAAAAACTCTACGAGGTAAGTACTCTTACCCCACTT